TTTTTTATGGACTTAATTATTTTATATTTTTTAAAACAGTACCACCCAAATTATTGCTAGGTATGACACACACACACACACTCAGATATATATATATATATATATATATATATATATATATATATATATATATATATATATATATATATATATATATATATATATATATATATATATATATATATATTTATATATATATATATATATATAAACCTAACTTTTCAATCAAAAATGTTTTCAATCAAAAAAAGTTAAAGGAAAAAAAAGTTAAAGAAAAAAAAAGGTGCGTAAAAGAAACATAATTAAAAAAATTTCATTTATCATCTTGCAAGCGCAAAAATATTTTTTGAACAAATTCTCATAACAAACAATATCAAAAATAATTATCAAATTTAAAAATAAAGTAAAAATTAAAACAAAAAAATGTTATAACGAATATATATATATATATATATATATATATATATATATATATATATATATATATATATATATATGTATATATATATATATATATATTTATATATATATATATATATATATATATATATATATATATATATATATATATACATATACATATATATGTGACCTCGTGGTAGGCACCACATAGATGGATCTAGTTTCTGAGAAAATCATGTTTAAACACAGTGACCTGTGGTTTTTAAGTTTCTGTTTTCATTTCAATTTGATGGATGGATTATCAGACTATTAACTGAATTGATTATTTTGGTCATATTCTGTATAACTTTCAACATTTTTCAAAAATATTGAAAATAACATTTTTATTAAAACTTTGAATTGATTTTCCTGACAATTGCTGTTTTTAAACTTTAGAATATAAAAAATCATAACTTTGAATGCAATTGACAGGCTTGGACAGTAATGGTGTGCGATCGCACTTTGTAACTGACCACGCTAATATTTTTATTTCTTTACAATTTGACCACAGCTATTTTGATGTTTTAACAATTTAAATGCAATAAAAAAAAGTGTTACGTTATAAATATCTTTTAATTGTTGATCTTTTCTTAAGTTTTTTATTTTACGCAAAGGCTTCAAATAAAACCATAAAATTAATTTTAGTTATTGTTACATAAACGCTTGTGTAAATTAATAAAAAAAGTTATAAATAATTTTTTTTTATGTAGGCATTAATTTTTTATGATAAATTTAAACGTTTTAAACTATTTTCTTATGTCTTCTGAAAACATTTTTAAACCATTATTTTTAAAAAGAATTTTTTTAAGTTGCTTTAATTTGTGAATAAGTTCAAAAGCTTTTGTGACAACTAACTTTTACATATTTTATGTGAGTTACCCAAGAATATAAAATGACTTTATTTACTTATATAAGCATGTATTTTGTTGATTTAATGAAAAAGTTTTAAAGCATTTTGTAATGTTCATACGATTGATTTTTATGATTAAACTTACGATTTTTAAAAATGTTTGAAATAAACATTTTTTTTTTTTTTTTTAATTTCGTCAGAAATGAGTTTAAATCTTTTATAATAATTTTTAAATTCATTACGCGAAGCGCTAGTTAATAAAGTTGTAATGCTCAAATTACAATTAAATTAAAAAGCTTGTTGGCAGTTAACTTATTTAAATAGCAGGCGCATTTTATTTATTTATTTATTTTGATTCTATTTTTATGAATAAAAAAGTTCAAAACCTTTTTTTTAATTAGACTCACTAATTAGAGCATGAAGTTAGTAAAAATTACTATTTTAAAAAGACTACGCTATTTTTTTAAACAATTATTTTTTTTGCAACTTTTTTGACAAAATAAATGTTTATACAATTTAAAAATATTATATAAAACACTTTTTAATAAATTTAATAAAATTTATTATTTTATTAAACCAATCATTAGTAGTAATTTGTTACTTAATTTAAAAACGTTTTGCGTAACTTTAGTAACGCTTAAAAAGATAAGTTTTAATAACGTTTATTTCATACGCAATTAAAAACGTAACTAAAAATTTCGCTTCGAGTTTAAGTTTTTATTTTCATTTTAGAGCTTATATTATTTCTTTTTCGTTATGAATTTGTTTTTCGTTTCTTTTTTTGTTAGGAATTTTTTTTTCCTTAGTTTTTATTTAATTTTTTTCTTAGTTTAAGTTGAGCTTAGTGTTTCTACATTTCTGAAATTTTTAACTCATCAAAAGATATATACATTGTTTATTAAACAATCGTGGTCAAGTTGTCAAAAAATAAAATCATCTTCAATTTTAAATCAATCCTCATTCTACTCCATATTTTTCACCATCTTGAGCAGTTTCTTTATTAAACAATTATTTCTTTCATCTTTTTTACAAGAACATCTCTCTTAAGAGCAAATGTCCTTTTATTATTGCAAAAAGCTAATTTAAAAAAGTCCTGTCTGATGTCAAGCTCTGTTATTCTCAGTTTACTAAATTATGAATTTCTTATCTCAGATCTAAGGTTCTAGAGTCTTTTGGTTAGTCGTCAACAGTATCATTAACAAAAGTAGACTTAGCAATTAGTTTCTAATTCATGGCTCTGATCTTTTTACTTCTCCTTCAGAATAAAGGAGAGTTATTTGCTAAGAAATATTACTCTAATTTGACTCTTGAATATAATGGCCATGCTCTTCCTGGCAATTAAACAGATTAACCCATTGTTAAACATCGAAATCACTCTTGCTTCCAAGGCCAAAGTTAATTCTGAGTTTCCAGAAGTGTTTTCCAGAACTCTCTTCAATTTTTGCTAAACTTTTTCAAAGAAAAATCGGTCCAAATATCCTACGATTAATCTTCACTTTATTATTAGATTCTTTATATAAAGGTTTTAAGGTTATTAAATTATTTCTTTCTAACTGCAGTAGTAAAGATATTCTTGAAGGCCTACTTTCTTCTTTATTTCAAGTAGCTTTAAGGGTACCACAAGTTTTTATTTTTGCTCCTGTATTGTTTCTTATCTAAAATAACAATCTTTATGAAATCTTAAGTGGCTCTATTTGCTGATGACTCAACTTTATATTCTTGTCTTGACAAAAAATCTTTACTTTTTAATTAATTAGAACAAGCAGTCGATTGTAAATCTGATCTCTCTTCTGTTAGGGCCTAAGGCTTGCAGTGGCTTATGGATTTAAAATCTGGACTTAAAATCCAGAATTTTTGTTAGGCAAAACTAATTTATTTTCTGCAAAAAAAAAATTGCAATATTCTTGGCATTGATGAATAACAATCCTATTATTCTCAGACAAATTCTAGAAGCACATTGTAAATGTAATTAGACCTGCTTTATCAGCCAAGTTTGAGCCACTCTCCCATTGTTGTAAGTTTGCATTTCTTTCATTTTTCTGCAAATATGATCATAGTCAATGCTCAAATGAACTATCATCTCTATAACGATAAACCGAAATATATATATATATATATATATATATATATATATATATATATATATTATTATTATTATTATTTTTTTTTTTTGATATTCTGTTTGAATTAAATTTGATCATTACTTACATTTTTATAACGCATTTAAATAATTTAGCGCATTTAAATTAAGTAACAAATCACTTCTAATGATTTTTTATAAAAGCATTAATGAATAATATATAATAATCTTGTTGATGAACAGGAAAGAATATAGAAAAGTCAGGGAAAAGTCAGGGAACTTAAAGAGTTCAACTCAGGGAAAAACGTTCTTTACTCAGGGAATACTCGGAAAACTCAAGGAAAAACTTTAAAAATCATAGTGGCAACCTTGCATTAGTAAAGATAAACCATTCAAAGTTTCAAACATAATTTAGATAATCTTACTGTTATAGTTAATTATTTCAGTAAAGTTTTAATTTTATTTTTGATATTTTAGTTTTAGTTAAGTTATTTTAATTTTGTTTTTTCGTTTTTTTTTTTTTTACAATGGTTTATTTGCTTCTTTAACGATTTTTTTTTTAAGTTTCTTTATAGTTAAGTTAAGATTTAGTTTAGTTTTTTTTGCACATTTTTAAAATGTACCCAAATTTTTAAAACATTTTAACAGCCGTGGTCAAGTAATGTAAAATCAAATATTATTTGCGTGGTCATATTATGTCGTGAAATTGCACGCCTTCCTGGCCAAGCCTCTCTCTCTATATATATCCAATGTCTGGCACTAGCCCAGTAAAAATTTGTTTATTATAGATAATAACATAATGTAGTTTATACTATGTTTATACTACATTTTATAATGAATTTCTTGACATATTAACCTTATTTTAAGTAAAAAATTGTTGTTGTTGATTATTTATTTTAGGTTTTCAAGATGCACATTTAAAAGGAATTGTAAAGATCATAAAGCTAACAATATGGCGGTACAGGTATGTAATTATTATTATGTGGTGGGTTATATTCACGAGAGAAATACAAGATAATTTTGTATTTAATAAATGTTAAATTAAACTTGTGTCATTCTCAGCAATCTTCTCAAGCATTTTCTTTTCTATTTCATTTTCTATTTCTCAAGCATTTTCTTTTCAATTTTATTAATGCTAAATTAAATAAAATAATAAATACTCCATCATATAAAACACGCTGTGGCTTTTATAATGTAGAAAGTCATAAAATAATGGAATGCAGAAACTGATGGTAAACAACTTTATTAAATATTGATGTTTTTTTTACCAATAATTGTCTCATCCAAATGTTGGCCACTGGTCAATAAAAAAGCAGCTGTTTATAATTCATAACAATTAATTTAGTAAGTAAAACTTGTTTAGTTTGGTAATAAAAATTTAATAAAATTCTTAGAAACATTAAATAATAAAAGTCAGATAATGATTCTAAATTTCTCATCTAAATTTCCTTATTAAATTTATCTGCTAATGGTATACATTTGACAAAGTTTTTTATTTCTTTTTTAAGAAAAAACCAAAGTTAATAGTCCTTGTCCTTGGCCTCAGCCTTGCCTAAAGGCCAAAATTTCATTCTTTATTTATATCTATTTTTGTTTTTGGCTTTCATATATATTTACAAGTATATTTTTTTATTGACTTCGTAGAATTCTGCACATAACCTTGGTTTATTTTTTCAACATTTGGTTTTATTGTCACAACAGTTGTTACCAACAGTTTTGTTAATAATTGGCCTTAATATAAGGCAAAAATTTAAGTCTTTGGTCTTGAAAATGTTTGCCTAGGCCTTGGTCTTGACTTTAAAACTCTTGGCCTCGGCCTTGTCCTTAAAACTTTTGGCCATGGCCTAGCTACTTTTGGCATTGTTAACAACTCTGGAAAAGACCACAATCCAATTCATATAATTCCAACTTAATTATTTAAGACAATTAAAAAAATATATATGGGCAATTCCACGGCGCAACATGACAGAGTAGTCAAATTTCATTCTATTTTTTGTCAACTTTTAGCGAGTTAATATTGATGTAGACACATAAATGTTTATTTTAAATATACCTTTAGCACTAAAATTAATTAATTTAAGTCATTTTTATGCTTCCGAAAGTTACGGATTTTCTCATTGTCGCATGATAAAAAAGGTATCATTGTAAAATGCTATTTTAACCATGAATTTATTTGCATAATCAGAATTAAATTAGCGTGAAAATGGAGCTAACATGTTCAAATTGTTGTTGGTCAGATTTTATACTTAATAATATATATATATTCTAAGAAAATAACGAATGAACGTAAGTTAACAAAAACACGATAAAGTGTTTGTTATAAAATTTAGTTAAAAAACTCAAGTTTTTTAATAATATTTGTGAAAGAATATTAAATATAACATTTTTGCATTTCATGGATGTTTCAGAGTGAGCTTTACGGCTTCTTGTTTTTTTTTTTGAAAATTTCAACATAAGGGGTGTTACTAAAATATTTATAACTTTTGAAATATTAAAGATAGTTTTGTTTTGTAAAAGGAATAAAAACAACAACAAAATGTTTTATCATATGACATTTAATATTATTATTATTTTTTAATTATTCACCTCCCCAAGGCCCGAGGGGGCCACTACAGTTAATGAGGCCACTACAGTTGAGGAGGCTACTCATTTTTTTTTTGTTTTTATTTTTTTATTTTTTGTTGTAAATCGTGGTACAACCCTCTCTCAACTCTTTAACTCCGAAATACGAACCTTGACAAGCAAGACCGCTGCGCAGAGAAATTAAGTTGAGTGCGGTACTTCCAGGGACGTGGTGGGAGTCAAACTCCGAACCTCTCGCTTACAAAACGAGCGCTCTTACCACTACACCACTACCGCATAATAGTAAATAAACTTCTTTTAGTTAAGAAAAAACGGGACAAATAATGAAATTAGCTGAATTTTAGTAATTTGTTGTTACTTTTCATCAAAAAAAATTGAAAATATATATTTCAAAATTTTTTTTTTTTTTTTTTTTTTTTTTAATTATCTTCGCTTCCAACAAGGTTGCAAGCAACCACTAAATAGTGTTGGAAGTTACTGGAAGAGAAAAGATGAAGATTGTAGAGCAAGATAACGATTGACAGATGACTTAAAATATTGCAAATTATATGAATAAGGAAAGCAAGATGAAGGAAGCGAATTCCAAAGAACTTATGTTTGAGGAAAAAAACTAGACGAATAAGAGTTTTTGGAGCACTTAGGAACAGTAACAGAAAAAGGATGAGACTTTATTGAATGACGAGTAACACGAGAATGAATTTTAGTAGATGGCACAAGAGACGCTAGCTCTTTAGAGCAGTGCCCATTATAGTATTTGTAGAAAAGAGAAAGAGAAGCAACATTTCGACGATGTGACAGAGGTTGAAGGTTGGCTGCAAGAGCAGGTCCAACTATGTTTACAATGCGTTTTTGCACCTTGTCTAAAAGAGAAAAGGCATCATTAGAAGATCCGCCCCAGATATGGCAACAGTATTCCATACAAGGCCGGATTTGAGATTTATAGAGATAGAGAATAGAATCCAGAGTAAGAAAGTGTCGAGCTCGATAAAGAGAAGCAACTTTAGCAGATGCTAATTTTGCAACGGATTTGATATAAGGTTTCCAAGAAAGATCAGAAGTAAGAGTTAATCCTAGAAGATGAAGGGTAGGAGACTCATCGAGTACATTACCGTTCATAAATATAGGAAGGTCTAAATTATTGCGATAACGATTGGCCGAAAAAAAGTTGAGTTTTATCTGAATTAAAGTTTTATTATATATATATTATATATAATATAAATTATTTATTAACAAGTTATAAACATTATTAGACTATTATAAAAACAAAAAAAAATATTACTCAAACTTTATTTTAATTGAAACAGAAATAATTAAGTCATAAAACAAAATGGCTAAAAAATATTAGAGAAAATGTTTTGAAGTATAATGTTTTACGTCATTACTTTATTAACCTAAACAAAAATTTACGCGAAAAACTAGAAAAAGTTGCTAAACATGCGAAGTTTGAAAACATATTCGCTAAAATAGCAAAAGTTACATAAAATTATTTTTATATTTTAATCTGCATTAAATGTCGAAGTTTCAATAACTTATGTCATCCATCAATAAAATTATATTTTACATTTAAAAAAGATAAATTTAAATGTATAAATACATTAAAAATTGAGTTGTAGTAAAAAAATCACCAGGATGACGTAGGAATCTGATAGAGTAGACATTCATTGATAAGTGTTCCAAATTTCAACCATCAACCATGTAGCTATGTTAGCAAATCTTGGTTGGCCCAAGACAGGTTTTTCGTAAAAATCGCCAAAAACAGAAAAGTGATCCAAAATCATTTAAAATATTTTAACAATGTTTATTTTTTTTTGTTTAACGTAAATATTTACTTAACGAAGAAAGATAGTTCTTTTATTTTTTTTCTATTCAAAGATGAAAGCATTTATAGAAAAAAAAATACTATTAATTTAAAGTCAGTGAATTTTTATACTTTTTATGCCAAAATTCTTTTTTTTTTTTTTAAACACAAAAATTCTTGTGAAAAAAACAGATTTATTTGCTATTTTCCTAATATAAAAAAATAAGTTAGAATTTTTTTTGTTTTTGTTTTAGTAAAACAAATCTTTTGTAAATGCTATTATGAGTCATCCATAAAGCCTGTCACCCTATATTTATCAATTTTTAACCCCTTACCTCCTGTCATAAACGATCACTTCTAAACTGTGATAGCAGTTTTTCTTCAAAAATATTTCAAAAGATTTAAATGTAAATATTTTGCAGCATTTAAAAAATTCAACCTAATGAAAACAAGGCAATGCGCATAAACGTAAGGAGTGTAAGTGAAAATTTCAATAAACAAAATATTTTTATATTTAAACGACTCAACTTAGTATTTAAAAGTTGTAATAGTAAAATAATTTTTTAAAGTTGCTCTTGGTCTTGCGGAAAAACTGTTTTCGATTTGATAACTTATATAAATGTTATGAAAAATCACTCAGGAAGAGTGCTATTAGTTTTTTAAAATTTCCTTTGTTAATTATTTTTAATGAATGAGTTCAATATCTTTGCAATTGTTTAGCTACGTAACTCTAACTCTAAATAATAGAAGTAAAAATCCACGATAATAATCGCATATAAGTGATAATAAGTAACGTAAGTTAGATACATAGTATAAAAAAACCAGTTTATTTTCCTTACCCGGTCACCTATGATAAAATTTTTTATATTTTTTAAATCGGCATATAATTTTTAACATCTTGTGTAAGTTTCTAATATAAACCGATTTACTGATTCGCAGAAATCTGACTTAAAAGTTGAAGCAATTTTTTTACCTAGCTTTCCGTGTAATGTAAGTTAGGTGGCATTTTTAGTAATAAGTTCACCCTTATTCAGCCAGACTCAAAATTTTTTAGCTTATTTTATTCTTAAGACTAACAGCTTTCATACAAAATAGCTAAAAGTTTAATTTACTGTTTAAATAGGCAAATATTTGATAAAGTTATTGCGCATGTAACGTAAGTTAAAAATGGAATTGCCTATATATATATATATATATATATATATATATATATATATATATATATATATATATATATATATATATATATATATATATATATATATATATATATATATATATATATATATATATATATATATATATATATATATATTTAACTTAAAAAAAAAAAGAAAGAAAAAAAGAGCCTATACATCAACATTTTTTAATTCAACTAACCCACATTAAAATATTATTAAATTTTTGAAAATTGGGATTGTATAACTGCTTTTTTTTCCTTTCATTTTTCATAATTCCTGTTTTTTAAGTAAGAAATTTAAGTAAATTTGACCATGTTTTGTTTTCTGTTTAAGAAAAGACTACATTGCAATTCTTTGTAATAACTCTAACTAAACTATTCAGGACAACATCAAAAAAAAAAAAAAAAATCAAGCTACATCTGCATTTTTGTAAAATTTGCACCAGTAAAATTGTGATAAAGGTCAAAACTACAGATGTGTTAATTTTTAAATATTTTAAGTTGTTTTATTGGATTCCTTGGCTCAAAATATGTAAGTGTACACATTTTCAGCTTTCCATTGCACACAGAACAGAAACAAAAACCAAAACCATTTTTCAAAATGGCAGTTTTTAGTGGTTCAAGGCAAAGTTTGAAGAGTCATATTGTTGAAATCATTTGGAATTAGATGATAAAATTTTGGAAATGTTAACTTATTAAAATCTTTGAATGGTGTAAAAATCAACAAAGTTTGAGACTTAGGGTTGCATGATCAGGATATTTTCACATGGAATCGCCCTCATGTCTTTTTGTGTAGTAGAGATAATACAAGAATAAAAGAGAATTGTTAGCAATTAAACTTTGAATGAATTTTTTAAACACAATTGTTGATCTATTTTAATTGCGTATCACTTTTAAATATATTTTTAAAAAGTTCTCTTTTGTATTTATCATTTTTATATTAATATAAAATTTATTTTTATATTGTTTTTATATTTTATATATTTTTTATATTATAATACATTATTTTATTTTTAACATTTACAATTATAAATGTAAAAAATTTTTTTTAAATACTTTTAAGTTTTAAAGCTTGAAGTTTTTAAATACTTTAAAAAACTATTTTGAACTTTTTTACATAGATATATTTTTTTTCATCTAATTTTATATTATAATTCTCATCATTAAATTATTTTTATGAATAAGTTTTGAATAAATTTATAGTGATTTAGAATTACATTAAATATGATATTTAAGGCATTAAAGCATTGTCAGCTATAATTAATAAAAATAATAATTAAAAAAGTTTTTTATAAATTGTTAGCTCGACAGCTTATCAGAATTTTAAAAGAACTTATGTTGCAATGTGCTTTTTTAGAATTAATTTAAATAAGCAATTTAAAATTTGTTTACCACACGAGGGCAGCAATTAAATTTAACCGGTGAATTTAAATATCTATTAAATTTTGTAATTGTATATTTAATTTAAAAAAAATTAATTTTAGTATTTATAAATTTTGTTTTTGTAAATTAAACTTTTGAATTTGTAAATAAAACAAAATTATAAAAATTAATGTAAATTTAAGTATCCTCTTTTATGTTTTAAGCAAATATTGTTTCATTTTTAATTTTGCTGTTGTTATTTTCGGTGTACTTATTATACAAAATTATTTTTAATTCCTTTATTAAAAAAATGTTAATAACTTTTTTCAAAATATTTGATATTATTAACATTATTTATTAAAATGCAAAGATTTTTGTAACTTTCTTAACCTAAGATAAACATCAAAAATGTTAATAAGAAGGTTTTGAAAATTAAAAATAATAATTTATTAAACGTATCGAAAAATCTGAAATACAGAATAACTGATTTCAATTAAAAAATGATTTTTTTAAAATTGTAAATAAATGAACTTGCTTGTAAATGACAATGCTTTTTTTCACATCTAAAAAAAATCCATCGTTCTTGATCAATTTAATTTATTTTTTTGTCTAAGGCACTAATTATGTTTTCTATACATCTAGCATTACTTTATAATGAGCTTGATGGAGGTTGTTTTTTTTTAATATTCTTTTGAACCTTTTGGAATTTTAAACCAATTGAGAATTTTACATTATATGTGGTGCCATCTGGCTGACTAGCACTCTGTATAGTGGTTTTAATTTTATTTAGTACAATTTAGAAATTTAGTACAAAATCTTTTTTTTTTTTTTTTTTTGTTACTTTATTTTTTTTTGTTTATACAATAAATGTTATTTTCTTTTTACAGGTTGTAACTCAATATTATTAATTAACCACTGATTTACATTGTTCAACTTTTTTATTTTTTTATTATTATTTTTTTTTTGTATTTAGGTGCTCCCAGAAGTCCTTACGGTCTTATCATAGAGCACCAGGGGAAAGCATTTAACAGGAAGTTCACGTCTTCTTCCGTACCAATGTCGCTTGTTTGGCTAGAGCTGGCGTCGAACCTGGGACCTCTGGGTTCTGAGCCAGAACTCTAACCACTGCGCCACGGCTGCTTTAAACATTAACTATTATTAAAAAAGATTTATTCTTACAATTATCAACTTCATTACCACTCCCCAACTAACAACTAATTTTTGTCTTACCAAACCACTCCATAAACTAAGAGTTGTCTTTTAAGTTGACTGCAAACACTTTAATGTTTATCAATTTAGACAGTGTTTTTAAAAATTGAAAGAAATTGAAATGTAACTTAAATTTTTACTTATTTCATGTAACTGAGGGAAAACATGAAAAATTTAGTTAAGAATATTTTCTGCTTTGTTATGTATATTTATATGCTGTGTAAAGTGATTGTTTTTGTTGTTGTTGAAATTTTGGTTCAGCAATAACAAAACATTTAGAATTTTTTTTTTGTTTGAAAATTTTTTTTATTAACCATTCACTTATATCTTTCTGTTAGCCATTCTCCTACATCTTTCTGTTAGCTATTCTCTTATATCTTTCTGTTAGCCATTCACTTACATCTTTTTGTTAGCCATTTACTTTCATCTTTCTGTTAGTCATTCATTTACATGTTTCTGTTAGCCATTCACTTACATCTTTGTGTTAGCCGTTCATCTACATCTTTCTGCTATTCTCTTACATTTTAATAGCAACTTGCATGATTAAATTTGAAAATTTAAAATTTATAAACCCAGAACTGTATGATATGTATCATATATTTTATTATGTTGTTAAATAAGGAAGTTATTTAATATATCTAAAAAAAGTAATATTCTTTTCAAGTCGATCAATAATTAATAAAATAATTAATTATGCATGGCAATAAACGAAAATTATTTGTTGCATTAAGTGACAAGAAGTAATAGTTATCAATCAAATTCCTTTTTTAACAACAAAGCAAAAGGTTTATTGATCTGGAGTTATATAACCTTCAAAGTTATGACATTTAAAATTTTATCTTGATATTTTACTCCTCTCTATGAATTTTTTCTCAATTTTCAGAAACTCAGAGATCTAAAAATTTTAATTTTTCATATTTAACCAAATCCTTATTTTAATTAGGGACAAAAAGTCACGATATTTGGTGGTTTCATTTGTTCAGAAAGTTCTTGCAAAATATGGTTTGTTTTATTTATTTAGTTCTTGATATTATTTGAAGTTATTTTTTTTCATTATTTATTTTTTCAAATTACTTCCCTTGGGCTATATGAAGGGGCTACAATTGACCACTCCTAGGACTATAGAAAGAGGAAAGGGTCTTACAGTTGACCACTATTGAGGTGGCTACATTTTTTTAATTTTATTATTTTTGAAACTCTTTCAACCTTAAACTCAAAACTTGAAATTTATTAAACTCTTGTTACTTGCCACTTGCATGGACATGGACAAAGTTCCACTCTTAGTCTACTACCACATAGATAAATTAATTAACTGTTAACACTATGAAAATTTTATTGAAACTGGTTTTATATCCATAGTTCACAATAACTTTGATGCTCTTTATTTGAGAAAAAAAAAATAAATCAAATATTAGCATATTTTATAATCTCTTTTAAATGTTTAGTTATGTTTTTTATTCGATAAGTATAGACAAAGTGTGTCAAACGTCGAGAAAATAAACATAAAAGCGAAACATTCCAAAACATTTTAAAATAATAACATTTCTACATTGATGATTTAAAGTAGTTTTGTGGTAATTAAGTAAATTGGGGCAGTTAATGTCGATAAATATGAAAATAAAATAAAAAGAATTTAATGACGTCAAAAATCATGTCGAGCTTATGCGTCGCTCAGTTTTTATTCATCACAAGACCTGCAATCACTATCAATACTCTGATATTCAGCACTTAAAAATAAAAAAGTGAAAAATAAAAAAGTTATGTGAAAAACAAAAAAGTTATGTGAAAAACAAAAAAGTTATGTGAAAAATAAAAGTTATGTGAAAAACAAAAAAGTTATGTGAAAAATAAAAACAGTTGTGTAAAAATAAAAAAATTTGAAGCAAATGAACAAGCTGAACAAATTTATCTTTATATTTCTAATTTTAAACCATTTTAAAAACAGAAATGAATTAAACTAAAAAGTGAATTGTATTCTCTCAAAAAAATGAAACTTGGACGAAAATAAAACAATTCAGGGCTTGAATTAAGCGTATCGCGAATCGCGATTGCTTTTTATACTTTTGTGATTAGTTTTTTCTTAAAACATATATTTTCGCGATTGGTTTACTTTTTTAGTTGTTTATTTACTTTTTTTCTAATTAAGACAAAGTTTGTCTTTTGAATAGAAGCATGATCATTTGCTCTTTCGCGCAGAGATTTTTATTCAACATGAAGCACTTTTTAATTTAAATTACTTTAAATCTCTGCGTAGAAGCAAATTAAAAAGACAAAAGTTAAAAAGAATTTTTTTTAACAAAACAGCATTTTTTTCTTTTTTTTTAAAAAAACTTTGTTCCAAATGAACTTATTAATAATGAATTAAATTATAATTTTATAAACAATTTTATATAATTATTTTTACTACTTTAAGTATAATAAAATATATATTAATTCATTTTCATTAAATAAAATGTCTATTAGTAAAATTGTACTAATAGAAACCAGCGACTTTTTTGCTTTCACGTTTTTTGCTTTTAAAGGGATCCCAAACTCCCAACACATGTTGTGTTCATATTAAAGATAATATTAAAAAAAAAGGTTTGAACCAAATTTTTTTGATTAAAAATAAATAATGAATGCATACCGTGAAAAACAAATGTTGTTGTTTTTGCCGAAGCTCGTCTTCTCCATTTTTTTCAACTAATCGGAGTCTTCAAATTATGCGTCGCAATCTACAGACTTTGGCAATTCCTTTGAAGCGCATTTAATTCATAAAAGTTTTAGTATTTGACGTCACGGTAGACTTTTAATAAATTAAACTCTAGAAATATTTTTATTTATTTTTAGTCGAAGTTTTTTTGATTATTTGTTTAGTTTTTTTTTTTTTCTACTTTTAATATTTAAAAAGATATTAAAAACCTTAAATATTTTATGCTGGTTCGTTGCTATAAATTGTTATTGCGCCATATATTTAATGTTTATAAATTATGAATATTTCTCTATGAATTATCTCTCTCTATATGAGAGATCTTTTATCTTTTATCAATTATCTCTCTCTATATGAAATATCTCTCTCTATATATCTTTCTATATGAATTATCTCAAAAATTGTTTTACATTAATTACCCGTATAAAATTAGTAACAGCTTTTTTATTTGGTTAGACGATATTTCGTTTCAATTTGCTTTGCATGAAGTTCGGAAAGTCAAACCAAAAAAATTAGTTTGAATATTCACGTAAATCAATATATATTTAAAACAAATTATTTTAATGACGGGAGTTCTAAAGTTTTTTATAACAAATGTAGGTAAAAAAATAAATAACTAAATAAAAAGTTCAGTATTAAACACCATTTCTTTATTCTATTGCAACTGTAAATATTGAATTATTAACTTGAACTAAATTTACTTATTATTTAGAACGACTAAGCAATAAAAATAAAATGCCCCTAAAATTATTTGAGATTGTGTTGTTTATTTGATAATTGTTGTTGGCAATGTTGTTTATGTTGATTATTTTCATAAATATCAAAATAGTTCCAGATTAACCGGTTCGTTGCTTTGCTCATTGTTGATTTATTTCTAATTTAATTTTATCTCAAACTATAATTATATGTTAAAAAAGAAAAGTTTTTATTTCATCGGGCGCTCTTTTTATAAAAGAGTAGAACAAAAGAGAAAGAAAAGCAATTAAACTTTGAATGAGTAAGAGTTGTATAGAATATATATATTTTTTTGCTTCACTCATTCTTTTTTTAGATGAGAGAAATAAAAGTTTAATAATAAATTTTCTTTGAATAAGTGAGAATTGGAAGAGAAAATTGCTTAAAAATTTGTATTTGTTAATTGTGTTTTTAAAAATTTTTTAATTTTTCATGTTAAAAGATAAATACCAATTACGACACAAATTTGGAAATACCAAATATAATATGTTTTTTAATTCGCGTTATGACATTTTAACAATCTAAATTACCATCTATCTTGAATTATTGCCTTTAATTAATGTGTTAATTATTGCGTTATTTAATATTAATTTGTCCGTATTTTTGTTAAATATTAGTTGTATAAAACGGGCGAAAATATACAAACTTTATGTTTTTTATTTGATGGTTATAAAATATTGAACAGTAAACTTATAATCAAAATTTCTAATGCCGACTTGTGTTGCAATTAATTGTACTTTTAATGCAAAATCAGGATCTCACAAATCCTTTCACGAGTTTTCATATCTGATACTACTGTCAACTGTATTGTTTAGTGTATTCTTGCACTTTTTTTTCATAATCTCAACAGGTTCTAATTGGTATAGAGTTGCTGACACTTTGAAAATTTCATTATCAAAAATCAAATGTAAAATAAAATGGTATTTCCTTTTTATCCGTATCCAATTCAGCAAATTTAGCAATTTAAATTAAATCAGCGTGATCAAAAAAATTTTATAATAAAAAAAGTTAACAATTCATTAAATATTTCTAATTAATCTGTCAGTTTATGAAAGTAATTGTTAATAAATACTTTTTTTTGACGGGAAAACAAAAAATTGTCATAGCGTAAAAATAACCAGAGAAGTTAGAAAATAGTTCCCTTTGTTTAAATAAAAATAATTAAGAATCAGAATATATAATACTGCGCTCTCTTGCGCAAAAACAAGAGACCGTATATAAAACGTTCTATATAAAGTAAAATACTCGTATGAAAATCATGAGATTGGTAAGTAAAGCTTTAATATTTGTTTTAATTAAAATAATTAAAGAAATATAAGTAAGATATATAAATCTAAAAATTATTAAGATATCTGTAAAAAATAAGTTGCTCCTATAAAATAAAAATAATTTATTGTTTTTACTTTTTACAAAATTTTTTTTGCGATGTTTGGAAAAATAATGCAAATAAATTTCTTTTGCTGTATGTTAAAAAAATACTACAGTAGAAAAACGCAGCTTAGTTTAATTACACTTTTCTTTTGTTAAAAGTCTACCGTGACGTCAAATACTAAAACTTTTATGAATTAAACGCGCTTCAAAGGAATTGCCAAAGTCTGTAGATTGCGACGCATAATTTGAAGACTCCGATTAGTTGAAAAAAATGGAGAAGACGAGCTTCGGCAAAAACAACAACATTTGTTTTTCACGGTATGCATTCATTATTTATTTTTAATCAAAAAAATTTGGTTCAAACCTTTTTTTTTAACATTATCTTTAATATGAACACAACATGTGTTGGGAGTTTGGGATCCCTTTAACGATTTTGAAACTATTGAAGTTATATTTAGTTAACTTTACTGAATGGATAGAGTATATCACAGTAAATTAACTTATAACCTAAAATCAAAACAACCAGTTAAATTAAGATAGTAACTTACAGTTTCAAGTATTAATTTAACAATTATATTAAATTATTTAATATACTCGCAAAAGTTAGCCGTAGGCAATTTTCAATTTAGATCTTAATGTTGTTAACACATAATATAAGCTTTTAACTAATAATTATTTTAACAAAAATTGTCGAATAGAATATGAAAAACACGACACCATTTTTTTATATTTTAATTTTATTTATCATCTAGACTATAAATACGCAAGTTGTTTTCAGGAATTTTATTTAAAAATAAATCTATTTGAAAAAGAGAACTTTAGCCTTAAAATTCACTTATTCAAATAATTTTGTGATTGAAATTTGAAATTGAAAAAAAAAATTAAAAATTGAAAAAAAGTTTGATGAAACAAAGGAGAATGAAGATGAAATATTTTTTTTCTTAAATCGTAAATTTTGTTAACGTTTTGAATTAGATATATATTTTTAGAAAATAGTTTTTAAAGTCGAAACATTCTATTGCAAACATCAAAGCAGTGATTGCAAATTGAAAGTTAAAATAAAAATTATAAAAAATTTAAAAATTTAATAAATTATTTAAAAAAAAAAAATTTTCTAACAGAAGTTCGAAAATTTTTTTTTCTAAAAAAATAATTTAAGCATATTCTTATACTTAATATAATTCGATTTATTAAACAAAATTTTTTGTTTCGCTTTTTTTTGGAAAACAATTAAAATAAAAAGAAAATTGAAATTTATAAAAGACGTGGTATCTAATGTTTTTTTGGCTTTTTTGATCTTACTCATTCGGTTTATAGATAATTAACTCGTGTAGGTCTGTAGGTGCAAATATGAAGTTTTGTTTTAGTTTATTAACTAGCTCAATTTTATTTATTTGCCTCCTTTTTTTTTAAACGCGTTTTATTTTATAAACTGTATAAATCAAAACGAAACAGCGTCACGTATTTGTTTTACATTATTCCAAGCTCTTTATATTTTTAAAACAACTTTGCAGTTTGTTTTAATGTTGTTTTATAGCTTTTAACAATTAAATAATTTTTAAAATTAACTCGTGTTTAACGTCAACCTGAACGTATTAAATAGTTTTCTTTGACTAATTAAAGTGGTTTAGATATTATAATGTTGCTTTTGTCCTACTTTTTTACTTTTACTTTTTTAAGTATCATGTTAAGTAAAAATATACTTAAAGAAATATCTTAATAGTATTAAAAACATTATTGCTCATTACAACTGCAACTTAACTTTAAGTTATAAATTATGTTATAAATAATAACAGTAACTTACGCTCTTTTAAATTCTGCCAAACAACAAAAATATAAGATTATATTTAAATATGGGAGATAATGTTAAAAATAAAACAATTACATACAAAACCTACAATTATATACTAACATAACTTCTGCCCCCCCCTCCATTACCGCAAAGCGGCGCAAGGTATTTGGGGAAAGGGTGTAAAAATTTTTTTTTTTTTTTCGCGATTAGATTTTTTTGCATTAATTCGAGCCCTGCAATTTTTCAAAGAGGTAATGAAGAACTCTTCTGAATTTAACTTTTTACAGGAATAATTGACATGTTTAGGATTTTTAGTTTTTAATTTTAACCGAAAAATTAACTATTGCAGGTTTCATTCTTTGCAGTTTTATGCAATTTTTTTTTTTTCAGTAATCTTTTTAATTTTTTTGTTTTGAAGTAATCATGATATAAATGCCAAAAAGTTAAAATGCAAAAAAAAGTTTGTTTTAAAATAAGTAATTATGTACCATGTTTATATACCATGTTTATGGTTTGCTACATGCTGCATGTTCAAGTTAAGTCTAATTACTCCCTATCTATAAGTTTAGAAAAAGGGTGAATGTAGGGGTAAGGCAAGTACTCAAATTACTAGATTTGAAAACTTAAAAAAAGGAAGAGTGATTAAAAATGGTTGGTGGTTCAAAGCATGGGTGTTTATTTTTACAAGTTTGTTTGCACACTTACATTTACATACATGCATGCACATTTAAAAATTAATTGTTATTATAACTTGTTAATTAGGAGTCAATTTTGGTAAGCTACTTTTATCTGAAGTTCAACCTCAAGCTGTTGGACTTGCAAAGTCTAATTCAAGGTAAAATTAAATTTCCTTTTTTCCTTTTATATTTTCATTGTTTTTTTATACCTATTCTTCTACATATCGTTGGTAGGGAAACACGAAGAATGCACAGGTTTAGCATGCACGAAGTCCAAAAACATCATTTTGAGACAATAAATAAGTTTTTGCTTAATAGTCAAAACAATAAGTTTTGTGTAATAGTTGAAATAAAAAGTCTTAATAACTCATTAATAGTTGATTAAATTTGTGTAGTATATCAAACGATAGAGACTTTAAAGTACTAAGTAAGAGAATTTAAAATACTAAGTACTAAAAATGGATTTGGTGCAATTCCTTTGTAACTATATTTAAATTGAATAATTTGATCTAAATATATGTTCTATATTTGTCTCAAAAAAGCCATTAAACAATTGCCTGGCATAAACCATTAACTGACATTAGTCTAAATTGTTTTCGCACACATGTTTAAATAAACTGTCTGAATTGTTTTAGTGCACATGTGAAATTAACTGACATTTTATACAAGTCCAAATAAATTGCACAGATAATAAAATAGTTTTTTAAAAATTAAATTCACCTCTCAAAGGCTCTAGAGGTAGCTTCTTCAGCAGGATCATCAGGAAGCTTTCTAATAACCCTGCTGAAGATATACATATACATACATACATACATACATACATACATACATACATACATACATACATACATACATACATACATACATACATACATACATACATACATACATACATACATACATACATACATGCATACATACATACATACATACATGCATACATACATATATTAATGTATATGTATGTGTGTATGTGTATACTCACATATATTGTATACTTACATATATATTCACATATATACATATATTGATGTATATGTATGTGTGTGTGTATACTCACATGTTTGATATATATTTATTTTAGTTATGCTGGTGCATCAGCTGCAGTGTTTTTACTTTCTTGGTGTAATGAGGTTTCAAAAAGTATCAATGTAAATCAAGAAGACTTCCATCTTTTAGTTGAGGTTCAGATTTTGGCTTATAGCGCAGTTTGTAAGCATCATTCAAGAAGAGCACAAAGAATTTCAAACACAGCTAAAAAGATTCTTATGCAGGATAAGGTTTATTGTTGTTGTTAAGTTTATTGTTTTTTTTTTAATTTAAGTTCTATAATATAATTATTATATTTTCAAATGATTTAACTTTATAATAAAACTTTAAAATAAATATTAAAGATACATAAATACATACAAAAATATAATAAATAAAAATATACATAATTAACTAATGAAAAAACTTGGTAAATAATTAATCAGTATAATCAAAAATAAAATTAACTTTTTAATTAAATAGATAAGTTGTATAATGGGAAATATAGACTTTACTAAAATAACCTGAAAATATTTAAAATAACATAATTTTTTATGAGATAAATTGCAGAAAGTAGGAAATTGTATAAATACGGTGATGATGGTTACTGATACCCTTACAAACATTCTTGTAAGGTTGAAAGTACATTATTCTGTTTATAAAGTTGAGATTTATACACAAGGGTTTTACAAATGATTTAAAAGCGAGTTGTTTAATTAAATTCTTACATCGGCACAGGTGAATTTAATTAAATAGTTGTATAATGGGATCTTAAGTAGCTAGAATTTATGCAAAACCTTTGCATCATAGAGTGCAAAAACAAGTTGTGTTTGTATAAAAGAGAACAATTTTAAAAAATGTTTGATTAAAACAAAATAATAAACACATACCAAGAAAAAACTTTGTAGATTTTGTCGCATTCTCCATTCAAGGGCTGTTTATATAAAGTGGTCTAGCCCAGTTAGCCCGGCTTGCTCACTTAAACAGATCTTGGCATGTTTAATATTTAGCTATAAAAAATTAATCTTGTTAACATAAGAAACATGCCAGCCCGGATAACTGAGATTTTGCCTATTTTCAGTAGGATGCCACTCAGGTGAGACAATTTTTTTCCATATAAACATGAACAAGTGAGCCAGCCCGGCCTATGAATGTAGCTGGTTAGATAAAATAAATCATGTTAATTCTTAAATCCAATCAAAAACATTCTTAATTGTTTTTAAAACAACCAGTTGAATAAAAATAAAAATGTGTAATTCAAGTTTAAATAAAAATTTCAATGTAAACATGTATTTTTTAATGTTATTATTTTTCAAGTCATCCTGGCTAATTGGGCTGGCCTGCTTCATATTAACAGCCTCTAAATGTGGTTATCAAGTCTTTAAAATATATGTGCTTTTTTTGATGCAATCTGCACTTTATAATTTCTTCAAGTGTGTTTAATTCCAATAATTTTTAGCATATGACATCATTGCATAATTTTGATAAGAAATCTAGAAGTTCTTTATTTTTTTCTCTTCAATATTTACTAAACATAGGTTTAGTAAATATTGAAAAAAAGACACTCAAGTAATTTTTTTTTTAATTTTGGAAAAATTTACATTAAAAAAATAAGATTTATGCATTAAATGCATTAAAAATATCTTTCCAATATTTTAACCTTATTGTTATTATTTGGTTTTGTGTTATTAATGTTATTAAATGGTTGCTTTCTTTATCAGATAAAAAATCTTTATCAAAAATTAAAAAAATTAAAATTATTGTTTAACCATATTAAATTATAATTAACAGTATTTATTTTGTAAACGTTTTGTCGAGTACAAATTTTCAAATTTCTTTTTTAATTATGTGAGAATAAGTATTAATTTTTTAAAGTAAATAATATTTAATAAGTTTGTTTTGCAAAATAACATGCATTTCTTCTTTCTTTTTTAATACTGCATACATTAGTTTATATTTAAAAAAAAATAGGCATTATTTGTATACTCATACAACTAAATTTTTTGTGTTAATAATGTGCATATTTAAACTCAAGTTATTATTTATTATTTTAATTGTTTCACCTAAAAATCTAGTGCAATATAATAATTTTTTCATATAAATTAATCTAAGAACCGTTATTTAAATAAATTTTGAAATACTTATCTTTTATTTAAAAGAATGCCTGCCCAAACCTTATCCCTTAGTTGATGAATGTTCAGTCTTCTGCGCCTATCCCAATTTAAATCAGTCCATGTATGTACACTTAACTGCGAATCTACAGCTATATTTATGTACGCATTGATGAAATTGTTCTATGAAACTTTGAAAAATAAAAATAAATAATAAACATAACTACAAATAAACCATAATAATAGTTAAAAAACATAAAACTACTAATCAAAAACTACTAAAATAAATAAAATTACTCAGTAAACTACTCAGTGAAAAGGTTTCCTGTACCCTGCTTGTTATATTACTTCGATTTAGAGGCGCTCTGCAGTGTTTAGCTCAAAAAAAGTTCAGTAAAAATAATTTTCATTCCAATTTTTCAACCTATAATCTCAATAATTGGGATATACAACTATAACCAATCATATTTCTCATTTATTATCTCCTTATATCTTCGATGTATTTATTAATAATTTTGCTCTTTAGACTTTCTTCTTTGTTCAAGAATTAAACAGATTAATTTAAATAATAAGTTTATTATTTGGCATTATTAAACATTTAGATAAATAATATTGAAGATGAAAATGAACATTTAATTACCAATCGATGAATATTATTAAACATTTCAATATTTTTTACATTGTGTTCACATTGTGAAACATTTAAAATAATTATATGAATCAATACTTGTAATATTGTTAATAATATGAATCAATACTTGTAAATAATTTGAGTGTTTTTAAAAACAAACTTTTTTTAATATTTCCAGTTTTTATTATAATTGTAAAAGACTTTTATGTTTATTAAAGATTTTTGTATTTTTTTTTTTTTTATATTTTATTTTTGTATTTGAGATTTGAGATTTTGTATTTGAGATTTGAGGAAAACAAAATAAATATTATAATAATAAAAGTATAAATAAATAACATATAAAAATAGTATGAAAATATAAATCAAAGTTTTATTTGTTTTACATATTTAGAAACCTGAGATATTTTTAAAGTATATTGAAGTAATATTGAACAATAGCAAGTTTGAGGTTTGTTGTTATTTAAATTTCATAAAAAAGACAAAATTTGTAGCACATTAAGAAATTAGTGGCTGCTAAATGTCACAGAGAAATGTTACAAACACTGTACAGTCATACATGTAAACTGTACAAACAATAGAGTTGAATCTAACTACACTTTTCACATGTCAACTTTTAACTATTTTCTCCTTGCTCATTCTTGATTTTACAATTCTTAACTACTGTTTTCTTGATATAAATGTTAAGCCTTTTGCTTTCATGTCATCTTTGCATCAAACTTTTTACATAAATCATTTATATTACGTAATAGTTAACATAATAGATATAAATACTTTTTAAAATCACAATGGTATGAAAAATTTAATATGTTTTCAACTGATTTTGTTTAGACTGAATCTATGTCATTTATTGGATTGATTTTTCAGTATTTGACTTCTCATAAAGCTATTTCATTGGTTGATGACTTAATAAAGGTTGTTTTATAAAAACCTTTAAGAAAAAATATTTTATGAATTTGTTTTGAAGTTTTAACTTAACTTTAAGTTTCGTTTTTATTTATTTATTTTTTTTCTTTTGTTGAACTTTTTTTAAATTTGTTTTACAAGCTATTTCTATTTTCTTTTACAAACCACTATTGTTCTACATGAGATTTCTGTTTTGTAGAGATAAAGTAAAATAAAGTTAGAAATTTTATAAATCATTATTTTTTTTTCTTTGAATAGTTTGTATGTCACTTTATTTTATATTTTACAAAAATATTTTTTAAATTATTATATTTAATTATTAAATATTAAATTTTTATTTTCGTAAAATAGCTGTATGTCACTGTATTTTATATTTTACACAAATATATTTATTCAAATTTAAATTTATTTACATTTCTTTTTAGAAAAAACTTCTTGATTTGTTTATTCGCAACTGTATTCAGACTAAAATCGCTGCACCAAAACATTCACTAGTAATCTTTTTTTTTATTATAATGCAATACTATTGTAACTGGGTAGATAAAATAATATGTATGAAATGTATGTACCACAAAACAAATAATTATATTTTTAATTTGTTCAATTTTTAGAATAATAAAATGGTTAATTAATTCATATTTCTGTTATTAAGTGACATTGTTATAATTGTTGTGCTATAAACTTCATGTAACAGAAAAAAAAAAGTTTCTGTTGCATGAGATATTTAAATTGATTTTTTATGTATTTTTAAAGGATTTCAAATCTCTATTTTTAAAAGATTTCAAATCTCTACTTTTAAAGGATTTCAAATCTTTATTTCTTTTTTTTTTCTATTTTTGTGGATAGCTGTAGTTTTATTGCAAAAATCAATTTTTCAACTTTTTTAAAATAATTAATTTTCATTCAAAAGTCATGAAAAAAAGTAATCATTTCATTGTTTTTTTTCAAGATCGAGTATATAATGACAAACTTAAATTTACATAAGTGTAGACATAGTTCTAAATTATATCAGTTATATCAGTGAAAAAAATTCAGGTTAAGGTAAGAAGATGAACAAAACATGTCTGCTACAAAAACTGAAGAATTAGTATAAGATTTGAAAGACTTCTCGAATGAATTTAAAATGGCCTCAGTATTTCAGTCATCACTAAGTAACTAAATGACTTAGTTCCCAGTTTCCTTAGGACTTTCGAAACAAGCAGCAGAACTATTGGCCTCTTGATTTTTGGAAAAGTATCTTCTTGACAGCTTCAAAAAAGTTTCCTACTTTAGAACAAGAGAGATAATTTTGTTAATTTTTATTTCATTTTAATTAAAATAGTTTTTCCATTTTTAACTTGGTTCTATGAAACAATTTGTTAAAGCACTGAAAACTGATCGCATTTGCTTTCAGCATATAATTAAAACATTGGCAGATTCATTATTTGAGAAAAAAAGCTTTTGATAAACCTATATAATTTGCCAATTTAATTGTTTTAACAAGTTCTTTATCGTATAAATGATAAAGAATTTGTTAAAACTATGGATAGCAAGGAGAAACGAAATGTTTCACAACGTACACAAGCGAAACTGCTTGGTTGTTGTTTGTAGATGTTGTGAAAAACTTATATGAAAATAATAGAACTGAAAACTGTGCAGACTTTTTGAATGTTAAAAGCCTTTTGTGGTGAGTATGAAACTTCATTATGTGAGTAATCAACTTGATTAAAGTCTTGGAGATGTTAAATTTTATAACAATTAAAAAACATTATTAAGGACGTTGGGTCAAACACTTAAGAGCACACTAATGTAGAGCATCTCATATTAACATATTATCTCATTCTCATATTGAGCATCTATTGACTTGAAAAAGTTGATAAAAGAAAGAGGAGTAAACAAAAGATTTTGTCAAATATTTTTAATTAAACAATATTGTCTGCAATTATTTTTAAAACTAATGTTCACAAATCATTGAAAGGTTTTATGGTAGGATGGTATTGTTTTTAATAAATATTTTGTACATTAAATTGCTATAAATATTTTTTTATTTCTTAATACTCAATACTTCTTAATTTAGATCCTCATCATCATCATCATCATCAGCATCAGCATCATCATCATCATCATCATTGCCATCATTATTATCATCATCATCATTGTCATTATTATTATCATCATCATTGTAAAATCATTTGATTTTTTTATGTGTTTTAATCTTAGTCATTGAAACACATAGAAATCTCTTGACACTATATAAGAAGAATTAAATCATACTTCCTGCAATTTTTGCTGCATTTATTTTGCAATAATAAATATTGTCAAGGATGAAGTATTTAATAGCCTAAAGTTTTATCATGTGAAATGCAATATTTTACAACAAACCATTATAATTTTAGGAGCAAGTAAAACCAATGCTAAAATATTTGAATCATGGTGACTTTCAAGAAATTTTTCCCGATATTAAGAAAGGACTTCTAAGAAATCCAGAAACAATATTACAAGGTAGGGTGTTGTGTTAGAGGTTTTAAAAATAGATGTAAAGTGTATTTATGTTACATTTTCCAAAGTATTTTCAATTTTAAGGTATATAAGTAAATGTTAATATAAATAATCAGTTAAATATGTGAAAAAAAAATTTAGTTGAAATATAATCAGTTAAAAAAGTAAAAAATGCATAAAAAAACAACAGAAAATTTAAAACTTTTTAGATTATTATAGATAACAAATGACCAGTTTTAAAAATTGGTAACTTCAAACAAGAACTTGGTTAACTTGGTTTCATAGTTAAATTCAATAAAAAAATAATCATTAAAAGCATTAAAAATATGTAATATGCTGTGTAAAAATATAAAAAAAAATATGTCTGTTTAAAAAATTTTATGTTTAAAAAATGTCTGACAACTGTTTTTATACTTTAGGATCATATTCAATAATTTTTATCTAATATCTATGCTTAAAATGATAAAATAATAATTTTATCATTTTCCAAACACAAAGAAACGATTACAGAAAAACAATACAACTTAGTACATAAACTGTAGTTAAAGGTTGCAACTTAGTACTTAAACTATAATAAAAAGATGCAACTTAGTAAAAAAGAAAGTGATACAACAGCAATGTTACAGAGATTCTAGTTTTAAAGCTGGAGCAAGTATAATGTGTTTTTAGAACTTGCCTATAGGAGATTCATTAGAAAAATAACTGTTTAGATTATTTTGAGTTGCAGTTAGCACTACATGAAGAGTCTTTTGTTTCATTGTTTCATCTAATGCACAAAAAAATAAATATTTTCTACAGAAATATTGGCTGAAAAACAAACTGTGGTCATAGATATATAAAATTGTTGTTTTTTTAAAGATGAGAGATAAGAAATTTTTATCTCTCCCAAGAGTTTGACAGAACTATAAAAAAAATTTATAATTCTATCTCATCTTTATAATAGTTAAAAATCACATCAAGGAAATATTTAAAATATTTAATAGAAAAGTATTAAAATGACAATTTAAGGTTTTCAAAAGTATCTGAAGCATAAATCTCAAGATAAAATGCAAGATTTATTACTTTTATGTTTTTATGATATATTTTAATGTTTTTGTGTATACCTTTTTTTTTTTGGTATATTTTAACGTTTTTTTTTTTTTTTTTTTTTTTGTATACTTTTATGTTTTTATGTTATATTTTAAGGTTTATGTGTAATTTTTATGTTTATGGTATATTTTAATGCTTTTATGCGTACTTTGATGTTTTTTTTTTTTGTTTTTTTCAAAGCTGTTGGATACTTTTTTTTTGGTTTATCTATTGATCTCTCTCAGTATATTGATGAATTATCACAAAGTATTCCAGGTAAATATACTGAACATTTTTGTTTATAAATATATTCTGAATAATTATTATTTTTGTAATTTAAAAAAAAAAAAAGTTCTGAGTAGAAATTTTTTAATAGTAGTATAATAGTAATCTAAATTGTTAAAATAATTTTGCTATAAAAAAACAATTCAAAATTCTTAAGTCCAAAAGCAAATATAATGACAAGATGAACAAGTTTTGAAAAGTCAAAGCTAATTAAAGGATCAACAGATCTATTTGAGTGCAGGCCCACCACCAGCCACCACCACCAGTAGCAAAAATATACTTTTTTTTTCAAGTAGATCTACATAAGTAATTTATCTGTTATCATTTTATTATTTATTGATAAATCTAACAATAAATATTTAACAAAATCATAAGCTTAATTTTGTACTATTTACTTACATTTCAGTTTTCTAGTATTACTTGATTGTTTTAATGTCACAATGGAAATAGTACACAGATCCGCAATAATCAGCTGTTGTCCTGGATCTGTGTAATTTCTGTGTATTTCAATTGTGACATTTATTTTATTGTTGTTATTTCTCCACTTTTTTCTCCAATTCATTATTTTAAATATATTTCAAAAATAAAGCTATAGTTGTATTTTAGTTCATTTTACATCTCAAAATGCAAGTTTAAGAGATGATGCTGTGTTTGCTGTTGAAAAAATTGCTCAACAATGTAGCGATCATAATGCAGTGTGTAAACTTATCAATCAAATATTCAAAATATTGTCAGGTAATCTTTTTTATATAGATTATTCATTCTTATTTTTAAAAAAAAACATTGCTGAAAGTTTATTTTTTGTGACCATGTTTTAAAAAATTAGTGAGACCCTTTTTTTTGTAGGTTCCGAAGGTAAACTTTCCCTTCCTGAACAACGTACATCTGTGTTCTCAGCCATAGAAAACATAGCTAACATATCATCTACTGCTGCTAATATGGAAATGCTTGCCACATTTATATTTGAAAAGATGTATCCTTTTCTTCTTGAAGAAGGTAATCAGTACTTTTTTATTTAAATTTAAATCCTTAAAAAATTTAAATTTAAAAATTTAAAAGAATTTAAAAAATACTAACATCAAATTCTTACCACATCATAAAGTTTTAACACTTACATCAAATTCTTACCACATAAAGTTTTAACACTTACATCAAATTCTTACCACATTATAAAGTTTTAACACTAACATCAAGTTCTTACCACATCATAATGTTTTAACACTAACATCAATTTCTTACCACATCATAATGTTTTAACACTAACATCAAATTCTTAACGCATCATAATGTTTTAACACTTACATCAAATTCTTACCACATCATAATGTTTTAACACTAACATCAAATTCTTACCACATAAAGTTTTAACACTAACATCAAATTCTTACCACATCATAAAGTTTTAACACTTACATCAAATTCTTACCATGTCATAATGTTTTAACACTTACATCAAATTCTTACTATATAACTTTTATTCTAAAAAGTATATGTACAATATATGTTTTAATCAATAAAATTTATGCTAATAAATTATGCAAAAACTGTTTGGTAATAAAAAAAGATATATTTTCATAAAATTCTTTTAGAAAAAAAAGGGAAAAAAAAAAAGTGTATTGCAAATATATTTGATTTATCAAATGGTTTTTCATATATTTTATATTTTAAAACAACACAAACATAAAAAAAACTTTTTTAATTTATGTAATATAACAAATTGAAAAACAAGGTAGATGTTTATATCCTATAGATGTATATATGAAAATATACAGTAAAGGTTCTGTTAAGTAAATATAATAATTTATATAAAACAATTCAAATAAAATCAAACATAAAAACAAAAAATCAAACAAAAGGCAAGGTTATTCACAGAAGTCTAAAAAATAGTTCAACTTACAAAAACTTGTAAAACATATTCTAAATAAAGGTTGCACAATATGATAAAGTTTATGGCAGTTAAAATAGATAAACCAATTTTATTTTTAATTGTTGTGTTATTTTCAATGTCAAAAAATATTTAACTTTAGTGATTAAAGAAAAAAAAATTTTTAAATTTACTTTTTATTAAAAAGTTTTAAAAAGTTATGTAGATATTTTAATAAAATAATTTTTTTTATATAGGACATGAAGGGGCATTAATAAAAGCTTTAGGTGCTTTAAAATCGTGGGCAAAGTTTTTTACAGTAAATCTACCAACTAACTTTGTAGATGTTGTTAAGGTTTATTTTTTGTTTATTTTAATATTTTTTTTAAGTTTATTTTTTTATGGATCTATTTTAATTTTTTTCATTACATTAAATTTTAGTTAATAAATTTTAATAACTTTTTTTATTTAGAAAGGTGTAAATGCAAAATCAAGTACGCCAACAATTCGAGCTAATTATTTTCAAATGGCAAAAGAAGCTATCAAAGGTAAATACAACATGTTATATCTTATATTTCTGTAAATAAAAAATTTATTTATACTAAAGTGCATATAGATACACATTGACCAACTTTTTTTGTCAACTTAAAAATGTTTTCTTGCACAAATAAGATTTATTAAAGAGAAAAGAAAATCAAATAAAACTCAACACTACCCACTTATACCCTCAGTTGATATAGCAGCAACTCCCTTAAATGTTTATCTTATATGAGCTGATATATGTACTGACACCCTCACAATTATATATATATACACACACACATATATATATATATATATGTGTGTGTGTGTGTGTGTGTGTGTGTGTGTGTTTGTATGTGTGTGTGTGTGTGTGTGTGTGTGTGTGTGTGTGTGTGTGTGTCTATTATTATTATTATTATTATTATTATTATTATTATTATTATTATTATTATTATTATTACTTTTATTATTTGAAATTTATGTATATTAAAAAAATAAAACTTTTAAATGAGATAAAATAAGTTATATTTTCAAATATATAACATGAACATTAATAGTTAATTAGGTTTGTTATGTAATTTCTTAGTAAATACTTGTTTTTGTGATGAGATTTTGATTGTTGCAAGTAAGCAGAATGTTCTTCATTTTTCAGGTAATAACGTAGTTCAAAGTCTTCAGTTGCTTGATATGCTTGTACAGGTGATCTTATTGCTTCACAATAAACCTTTAATTTTTTTTGGAATGAAACAGGTTTTTATCATTTATGGGTCAAATAATTATATTTCAAATGGCTTGTGGATCACCATCTCTGATTTTCCTAATTTTTACAAATTGTTATTTGCATTATGTAGGTATGTAAAATTTGAAATTTCAGACTTCCAAGTACAATGGTTCAGAAATTATAGCCTTAGAAACATGACACAGTGGCACCTCTCGATTTAAAAATGGTCAAAACAGACTTACTTAGAGCTGTATAACTTTTTTCTCACTTTCAACAAGTGTCTCATTTTCATAACCCCTCAGCTTTATAAAAAATCCTAAAATTGCTAAAGTATACCAAAATAAAACTGTGTCATGTTTCTAAGGCTATAATATCTGAACCTTGTAAGTCTGAAAATTCAAGTCTACTTGGAAGTCTGAAATTTCAAATTTAGGCCATCTACCTAATGCACATAACAATATGTAAAAATCAGGAAAATTAGATACGGTGACAATCTTTTCTTCAAACTGGTTGAAATATTTTGAATTGACCCTTATATTAAAGCATTAAAATTAGTTAAAATTAGTTTAAAATATATTGTAGTATTTATTAAATTTTTATCTTATGGTTTTTATAAATTATAAGTATTCAAGATTTAAAAATTCCTTTTAAATTTAGTTTATAAATTTATTTGATAAAAGTTTTTACATAATTTATTTTTATTCTTAAAAAGACTAGTACTTTTTATTACACTAATGAATTTGAATTATGTTACATAACATTTGTTTTTGCGCAAAAGTTTTTTGCTATTAAAAGTGTAAAATTAATCATGGAAAATGTTTGTAATAAGTAATAAATAAACATAATAATTTATGTAATTAAATTTATAATAATAAATGTAATTTATCTATGTAATTAAAATATTTATAATTTATAATAATTTACAAAGCATTTCATGTAGTGTAAAAAGGGTTTTAAAAAATTAAAAAAAAAATGTAAATATATATTATTTTCTTTTTTAAATTTCAGTTTTTTAGGTTTAGTTGTTTTTTTTTCTTTCTTTAGATAAATTATATTTTTAAATTTTTTTTTTAAATTTCAGCACATTTTTGAAACACTTTGTCAAATTGTCAAAACATGCTAACTGTTGTGGTCAAGTTTTAAAAACAAATTATTTTATGCGTGGCTATCTAAGGCATGCGTCGGCATGCCTTTTCTGAGATTGCTTAAATATATATATATATATATATATATATATATATATATATATATATATATATATATATATATATATATATATATATATATGTGTGTATATATATATATATATATATATATATATATATACACACACACACACACACACACACACACACACACACACACACACACACACACACACACACATACATATACATGTTTTGATGTATTTCACATAGTTGTTAACAAAATGCTTTTTGAACTTAAAAAACTTTGTTTAGACTGTTGAAAAAAGTGTTCCACACCAAGTATGCAGTGTTTATGAAAGTTTGGCTGCATCAACTTTAGTAGCTTGTATATCTGCATTGGACAATTCAAAAGGTTCTAAAATTTATTTTAAGACTCTCAATATGTTTATTATTAAATTGAAATAGTTAAAATGATAATTAAATTTATTTTATTGTTTGACAATAAAAAATGTTTTTTAGAAAAAGTTAAACTAATAATGATCATATATTAACCATGTTAGGTACTATAGCAGATTAGCTATAGTAAAGACTTTTTTTGTTTTTGTTTTTACTTCTAATTTCTGTATCTTTTTTCATCTATAGATTATTAATTTAAAAAATAGTGATTTTGGTTATATTAAAAGATGTTTTAGACATTAAAAGATTAGAACTATCATGTTTAGAGTTATCAGTGTTAAAAGGTGGTAATAAAATTTGTTATCATTAATTACCTACAACACTCAACAAGATTGTTGTGGTCAATGATAAGTTTTTAAAGTCTTTTAACTAAATTTAGTATCAACATAATGTATTAAAATGTGTATTCATTAGAATAAAAAAAAAGTAAAAAAAAAATATATAAAATGATAAAAAAATGATAAAAAAAAAGTGCCTGACCAAACCAATAAAAAACTAATAAAAGATAATTTATAATTGTAATTATTGGTTACACAACATCATAGAATCTGTAAATGTATCATAGAATCATAGAAATGTAATTAAACTATAATCCTATTTGATCACATTTTCATGTTATATGATATTAATATAATCAAGAGTTATTAAGGTAAAAGCTAGTAAGTATTAGTTTGATCACATGTTTATGTTATATGATATTAATATAATCAAAAGAGTTATTAAGGTAAAAGCTAGTAAGTATTAGTTTAAGTTTAGTTTATTTTTTAGGGAAAAAGATTTAGTTTGTCAAGAATTTATAAAATAATTTCCTAAAACATACTTTAAATTCTAAAAATTTAGAAAATTATTTTTCTCAGTTGAGAAAAGAGTTTATTTTCAAGAGTTTAGTATTACTCTCAATTTGAAAAATAATTTTTTAAAGTTCTTTATTCTGATTTTAGATAGCAAGTTGGACTCGTTTTGGAGTTTTGTTCTTCATCATACTAAAAAGCCATTACTTTCCGAAAAGTTTATGAGCGCTGCAAATAAGGAGCGTAAGTACCCGGTGTTACTTGTTTAGATGTTATAGTGCAACTGTTTTTTTCTAATATGTTATAAAAAATTTTGAGAAATTTGCTTTTTTTTATATTTGTTTTTTATTTTTGTCTTTTTTATATTTATTATTTTATGTTTTTATATTTATATTAATAATTTTTAAATTATTATTTATTTTATGTTTTTATATTTATTTTATTTTGTTGAAAGTTGTTTCGCTGATTTTTAAATATTTGTTATATTATTTATTTTATGTTTTTATATTTATTTTATTTTGTTGAAAGTTGTTTCGCTGATTTTTAAATATTTGTTATATTATTTATTTTATGTTTTTATATTTATTTTATTTTGTTGAAAGTTGTTTCGCTCAAATGATTTTTAAATATTTGTTATATTATTTAGAACTAAATCAGTTGATGAAATTTACAACCATTCTTTTTACAAGTCATTATGAAAAAGTTGCTGGAAAAAATGTAAAGTAAGTTTAACAATTATTTAAAATTAATTTTCAAAACAAATATTAAAAAAAAGTTGTTAATAATTTGGTTGTTTATAATTTTTTTTACACTTTTATTGTTATTTTATTTGCTTTTTTTCAAAAATATTAAATTTAAAATGTTTTTAATCGTGTTTTGTTTAAAATGTTTTAAATTGTGTAAATGTGTTTAATCATTTTAAGTATGCAATATTGTATTCAATCATTTTAAACAGTATGCAATATTGTAGTAGAGTACTTGCTTTGTAAGTGATAGTAACTTGGTTTGATCACAGTACTACTAGAGATAGGTCAGGATCCCTAGTAGTACTGTGCTTTACTTTCTTTGTACTGGTCTATTTCATTTAATTTGTGTTTTTTGCTTTACATTTGGGTGAGGGAGAAGCTTTTATACTTATTAGTATTCATAGTTTCATCAATAAATTCTAGTTTACTAATACCATTTCATTTGTTTACACCTAAAATGTTATATATCCACATAAAGTTTAAATGTTCCTCTTGTGCAACTCAAATGAAATGGTTTGCCAATCTCTTTGTGTGTCATTAAATATTTTCAATCAGAATTGTTCAGGGTAAAAAATGTTCTTCCAAAATGATACTGGGATTAATTAATACTTTTTTGCTAAATATATTCTTTTTATTAAAAATGTTTTTTTTTTCAGCTATCCATTAAACTCTTATGAATGGGATTTTTAATTGATATTAGTGATATAGTGTTTTCTGTTATTGTTATATAAAATGTGCTTTTATATTAATTTTTTTTTACAATTCTTGTTATTTTTTTATCACCTGATTTTAACTTTTATCCTTGTTTAACTTTTATCCTTTATCTGGATCAAATTTTTAATGTCACATAGAGTTTGTATTCTTTTTACAATGTGTTCTAATATTTTAAATGTGTTTTACTGTTGTAAATGTTTTCTACTGTTGTAAATATATTCTACAAAATAGACTAATTTAAAGACAATACCTAAAGGTAAAAATTTTAAAATTTTTACCTCAAGGTGTTATATAATTTTTAATACCTTTTTTACTCAAAAATTTTTTTCAATTGGTTTTTAATGATAAAATAAAAATAAACATTAAAAAAAATTATATCAATAAAAAATGCTCATTTCTAAACAAGTGTTTCATTAAAACAGGTTTTTAACAATTTATTTGTGTCCATGCAAATTTCTGAAGAAAAAATTTTGTTGCACCTACTTTAATTATCAAATTTTAATCATTTTAAGATAAAGTTTATAGAGCGAGATAATGATTGAGAGAAAACTTAGAATATTGAAAATTATATGAATTAGGAAAACAAAATAATGGAAGTGAATTCCAAAAAAATGATGTTCGAGAAAAAAAACTAGATGAATAAGAATTTTTGGAGCACTTCTCAGTAAAAGTCACATTAAAAGAATGAGACTTAATTGAACAATGAGTAACACAGGAATGACCTTTAGATAAAGAGATGCACCTTGGCAGATTTTAATTTTGTAATCAATTTGATATATGGTTTTCAAGAATGTTCGGAAATAAAAGTTAATGCTAAAAAATTAAGGGTAGAAGTACATTACCTTTCATAAATATAGGAAGGATTGTTGCTATAATGATTAGATGAAAAAAATTTATCTGAGTTAAAGTTCACAAGCCACTAAGAGACCCATGCTGTAGCAGAAGTGAGATCCTTTTCAAGCTCAAATGCCCCCTTTAAGCAATTAGAGGGTTAGCTTCTTATCAAGACAAGAATAAATGGTAATATCTTCATAGAACATTTCCCTCTTAGATGTGAGATTTTCTAAAAGATTTGTCCTTCAACTTTTATAATACAATTGGTGAGATTCAATAATCGTAAAGATTTTACCTTATACACCGTAAGAATAGAGCTAATGGAGAAGACCAGCATGCGAAACTTTATTAAAGGCTTTGAAATGTTGACAGCATTAACCTTAACCTCTCAACATCTATCAAATGCACGATAAAACCTAATGGATATTACTATTAACAAATAAGCAGAAAATGCCCCCTCCAATGCCCCCTCCAAGCAATCAGATAGTGTTGGCTTCTTATCAAGACAAAAATAAATGGTAGTACCATCAGCAAACAAAGCCACTTTAGAAGTAAGAGTTTTTAGGATTGTTAATGTAAATTAAAAAAATTATAGGGCCGAAGATAAAACTTTAAGGAACCCCTGAAATTACAGAAAATGAAAAAGATTGCTGTCCATCGAGACTTTTATACTACGATTGTTAAACAAGGATTCCATAATCTTAAAGATGTTTCCTGATACACCGTAAGAAAAAAGCTTATTACCATTAACAAATTAGCAGTAAAACAAGAGGATCCATATTGATAGTCAGAGCATAAGTGCATAAATGAGAGATTAAGTGTTTATTAATTAAAGCCTCAAAAACTTTGCTTATAATAGGAAGAAGACTAATGGTCTCCTATGAAAATAGGAAGCTGGAGTGATACAAATGTCAAGCACTGGATTAACCTGTTTGTTTGCTATATCATGTAGAATGCGACTAGTGGAATCAAGAGATAATATTGATGAGAAGTTCTTGGCAAACAGTTCAGCTTTATTTTTAGGTGAGGTGACATAATCTGAACCAAGAAAAGTCAAATAGAAGATTTGCTCTTATTATAGATACTGTTAAGAAGTCATGAGAGCCTAATTTTTGAGATGAAATATAAGATTTCGTGACTTGAGAATAATGGGCTTTGGTGTTAGATAAAACCTTATGGTTACAATGGTTTCTAGCAGTAGTAAACTGATGTCTGTTTTCTGGAGAATTGTTTTGCTGATAGATATGAAAGTAATGGTTTCAATTGGAGATTGCAGCAGAGGAAAATTACGAAAAAGAGTGAGGTTCAGCTAGGAATTGTTGAAAGGGAATAAAAGATTCAATGCCAGCCTGGATCCAAGAATTTATGTAAGAAGCACATACAAACATATACAAGTTATGTACAAGCATATACAAAAGAAAAGTCGCGCTATTGTTTATGGATATATATATATATATATATATATATATATATATTTATGTATATATATATATATATGTATGTATGTATATATATATATATATATATATATATATATATATATATATATATATATATATATATATATATATATGTATATATATATATATATATATATGTATGTATGTATGTATGTATGTATGTATGTATGTATGTATTTATGTTGGGGATGCGTCAGCCGATGCCGATTGTTTTGAAAAATCAGGTTTTTTTTGTTTTTTTTATATTGTATGCAAAAATATTTATTCCATAAATAAAAATCCATGTACAAGCCTAAGTAAACATTTAAATAATTTTTGAACTGTTTTTTTTTATCAGGAGCTGATAAAAAATGCATTTAGTGTCTAATAAATTAGAAAACCAATTATATGGCTTATGGATCCAAACTATAAAAAGAGATAAGTTTAAAATCAAGAAATGTAAATGTAATGTAAAATGCAAGAGAAAAATTCTGCTACATGTACTTGTATAATATACTTATACTTGTATAACATACTTATGATTGTAATGTATAATACTTATGATAATAATGTATAATACTTGGTATTTTTTATTTTGCCAAATTTACAAACTGCTTTGAATGTTTATTTTTATCTATAACTAGGAACTAAACTTTGCAATAAAATTGAATCAACAATTAGCATTAGAATTTAGCAATAAAATTGTTAAGATTATATTTGAAAAAAAATCCTAATTTACCTATTAGTAAAAAAAAAAGAGTATAAATTCGAATTAATGATCGATGCCAATGCGTCGGTATTGACATGTACCAATTGGGATTGGCTAAAATTATGCATCGGTGCGTCCCTAATATATATTCATATATAAATATATATATATATATATATATATATATATATATATATATATATATATATATATATATATATATATATATACGTATATATATACATATGTGTATATATATATGTGTGTGAATTAAGTTGCAACAATATTTTCAACAGTTTCAATAGTTTAAATAGTTTCAATATTTCTTTTGAAGAGATTCTTGGGTTATTTATCACCATTGTTTTTATCAAATTTTCACCTCTTTTGTTAAATTTTCACCTCTTTTGTCGACCGGATCTTTTGCAAGTCTCTAAACAACCATCTTTTCTTTTTTTATTTGAACAGTAAATACACCAACTTTTTCAGCAATTTGTCTTCGACTAAAATCTAAAACCTTCTTTATAAAGTGCATATATTGCACCACGTTTTGTTGGTTCTAAATCACCCATTGCAGCATCAAAATAAATTAAATCTCACTTTTATTATTTCGCGTATATTTTGAATTATATTAATGTTATCCTTAAAAACCAAAAAAAATAATAATAAACCTTCAAAAATAAAAAAAATTGGTATTGAATATTAAAAAAAAAATTGTTGATGAATACACTCTTTTGGCCACCAGTATACATATACATACACACTACTGTTCATAAGTATTTGAATGACATTAACTTTTTAAAAAAATGCTATTTTTTATTTAACTATTTTTTATGTTAATTTTAGACTTTAAAAAGTATTTTGATTGAAATGCTTAAAATCATTTGTATTTAATGTAGATTTATGGTTACTTATGTGTCCTGTTTTGTTTTTATTACACTTCTTTTTACTATGATTTTTTTTTTACTTTCTAAATAATAAACATTTATAATCTTAAAAAAGGTTTGGTAGTTTAATTAAAAATCAAGAATAATAAAAAAAGAAAGCAAATAATAAAGGTAGATAAAACTACATAAAAAATAGATTATCTATGATTGTAAATGTGGACCGGTGTGTTGAAGTTTTGAGTCTTTGGTTTCAAGATAAGATTGTTTATCTGTATAAAAAAAACCCTTTGAATGTATGATAAAATATGGTGTATTATTCACTGCAAAACATGGTTGAGGTATTATCCACTGCAAAACATGGTTGAGGGAGTAATGACAAAAGCAATTTACCTGAATACTTAAAAAATCTTGCTACACCTTTGGAAAGATAGGTTAATGGAAAGCCATTAAATTTTTAGAAGAAAATGACTTTAGGCTTAAATCCAAAACATGTTTTTCAAAAAGTTATTTGACTGAGTTCGAGAACAATCAAATATTGAATAAAATGAAAACCAAATACAAAATTTCTCTCCTATTGGATTTTTCTCCTCCCCAATTACAAGATCTCTCTCCTATCAAATTTTTATGGGAGGTATTAAAAGTAATGTCAAAAACTAATGCCTAATGATGCATAAAATGTGGAAAAAACTTTTTAGTTTGTGGCATAAAATTGCCTTCAACAAATTGGATGTCGTTAAATGTTGTTTTTAATCTATTACTTTTTTTAAATAAACTTTTTTTAAAGTAAATTCAGTTTTTACTTTTATTTTACTTATGTTCAGGAAAAAAAATTACAGTTTACACACAAGTTTAATATGGGAATTATTATTATAAATATTACTAATTTTTCATGTTTATTGTTATTTAGGTCATATATAGTATTATTAGTATTTCTTATACTGAGTAACTATAAAAATTAATCTTATTAAAAAAGCAACACATTTTCTAACTTATTATATATTTGAATATGAAGGAATACACAAAGCTACAATTGTGTAATTTTTTTTTACAAATTGATTTAAAAGGATCCTTAACTGACAAGACAATTTGTGTTCATATTAAAGAAAATATAAAATAAAAAAAACATTTGGGCTAAATATTTTTGATTAAAACTAAATAATGAATGCACACCATTAGTTTTAAAATTCATATTTTAGTCGAAGCTTACCATCTCCATTTTTTTTGGTTCTCGGAGTCAGTATAATGTTAGCCCTAATCTACAGAATTTATTCTATGTGTATTTAATTCATAATAGTTTCGGTATATGACGTCATCATATAAATTTATTCTTTCAAGATAACATATTATTTTTTTGCTAAAATCACCAAGTCATGTATAACTTTTTACTAAATCCCCAAAAAAAAGTTAATGATGTAATTAAAAATTAAATTTATAAAATTTATAAAAATAAAAATTTAATACATAATGAATATTTACAGTAAAACGTACTGGTTTAAACTAAATATAAACTAGATAATAAAAGAATAATTTTACTAAAGCGTATTTAAAGTATAAACTGAATAAAAAACAAGTGACTTGAATAAAACATATACACTGAACTAAGTAGAAAATAAATATTAAACAAATTATTTTACTAATAACGGTAGAAATTAAACTAAATTAAAGTTAAAACAAATATTTGTACTAAAATATACAAAAAATAGTTATAATATAAATATAAAAACGAAGAATCACAATAACTTGTTCGCTACTAGCCAAACAAAAGTCTTTTTTTGTAGCAACTGCACATTTTTTTATATAAAATTTGAATGGCATAACATTGACAATTAATTAAAATTTGATAATAATTAAGTTTTTAAAACGCATAATTAAACAATAAGAAATGCAAAGTGCTTAAAACCATTTTTTTTTTTATAAGTAGTTACTAAAATATTAAGTCTGAAACAAACCTTGTTTAATGCATAAAAATATTTTTTCTTCAAAATACTTTGGTACTTAACTAAATAAATACTATTACTTATCTAAATACTTAACACTTCTTCAAGTTTTTACAGTGTTATTGCTGTTTTATTTTATAACTAAATTTAAAGAAGTTTTTTTTTATGAAGGATTATTCAAGATTTTTTAACTTTGTGATAACTTTTTATAACTACACAATATAGCTCTTATTTTTTCTTGATTGTGTAGCGAAATAATTAAACCAAATTAGAACAAACAAGTTCTGTGTCTAGAATGGAAATTTATACACAAAACAAGATAAATTGTAAAGCATACAAAGGTAGTGAAAGAGTTAAACCATAACTAAACGTAAATTAAACATAAAATGAACAATTATATCAAACCACATGAACTATATATAAAACGAGAAACTCATCATACTCCCTTTATTTTTTCTTTGCCTGCGAACTCTAACAGTCATAAAATATCTATAAATGCGTCATGATTTTGGCTGGCTTCTAAAACAAAGTAATAATAAAGCAAGTAAAATTATATATATATATATATATATATATATATATATATATATATATATATATATATATATATATATATATATATATATATATATATATATATATATATTTGTATAATTTTTCAACTAAATCACAAATATTTTTTGTTATTTAGTAAAAAATTATACAAATATTTGATTTTCTGATTATAGTAGAAAAAATACTTATCTTTAAAAAAACAACAACAAAAAAACGCTATCTTAAAAAGATATTGCGATGATGTCATATACCGAAACTGTTGTGAATTAAACACGTATGGAATAAATTATCAAGTCTGTAGTTTACGGCTAACATTATACAGACTCTGACAACCAAAAAAAAAATAGAGAAGGTGAACTTCAACTAAAACGATAATTTTAATTTTATTGGTATGCATTCATTATTTAGTTTCAATCAAAAAAATTTAGCCTAAATGTTTTCTTTAAACATTTTCTTTAATATAAACGCAGCTTGTCTCGGCAGTTGGGGATCCCTTTAAATAAGAAAAAGTAACTATGTCAGTAAAAGTTTGTTTAACGATTTTTCAAAGTTGACTTTTTTCATCTTTGAAAAAAGTCAACTTAGAAGGACAATGATAACTTTGAAGGACAATGATAACAACTTAGAAGGACAATGATAATCTTGCGTCAATTTTACACCTCTCTCAGCAACATCATTAACAATTCTAATATTTTTGAAAAAGTTCATTGTTTTATGATAGGTCCTTATCCCATCTTTGGAGTTTTCAGCTCTTTCAAAAGTTACAAGTCATTAAAAGGAACATCAACTCCAAGGGGGCATGTTAACAAGTGCTTGGTATACACAAGACCATTAAATGAGATATATCTCTCAGCTTCACATTAGTTAACACATTATAGCCCATAGAATCTCTAAAGAGGTACATTTTAGCAGCATATATCACTGACGACATTTATTTTGCATGATGAAAGGCCCCAGGGGTGCACCAATGTACACCTCTATCTAGAATTTCTCCAAGTAAAATTAACATAAGTTCAGCACATTGCTTGTAATCATCTCTTAGTTTGAAATTCTTATTCATGAGCTGCTTCTTTGAAAATAGAAATAGCAGAGTTTTGTTAAAGCTTCATATTTGAGCTGCTTCTTGATGTGTAACATAAAAAAACTTTTCCAGTTGATTTAAAAACATCTGTGATTTTTCATTATTTCTACCTTTATGCTTGGTTAAGGTTCTGTACGATTCATACAAATTTGTAAGTTTTTGTTTCCCTTTGTCTTTCCTCTGTGTTTTTACTCCTGTTTTCTCCCATATAGTACACAGCTCATCAATTATTTTACTACATATAACTGTATTACTGATAGATTACTTAACATGTTTCATAGGCCCTTTTTTTAAATAGAAAAAGTTTCGCAATACCTCTTGTTTAGTTGGTATTTGGTTTAAAGTTAGTTGTTCCAGGCAGTTCTGCAACAACCAAATTTGCCTTTTGATTGTAAACTTGATTGACTCATATTGACAAAAGCTAACTTTATAACTTTCTCAAAACACACTGCAATATCTCATAGCAACATAAATATAACTTTAATCTTTAACTATAACAAAAAGATGTCTATTCTGTAAAAACAACAACTTTACAATTATTAACTCTGTTTTATACATACTATTTTACTATTTATTATACAACTTTTCGTAATTAACAAAACTTCCTAGGAATAATTATGTACATGTACACAATTATCCCAAGGGAGTTTTGCATGTATTTTTTATAATTATGTACATGTTTTTTTTGTTTTTTTTTTTGTTAATTTTTCATGTCATAAATTATTTTTTACAAAAATAGTTTATGACATATACACTAACAATTTGTAAATACTATTAAATCATATTAGCTTATTCAAATAACTTTGGTTTTTTTGGATATATATGTTATAATTCATAACTTCTTTTGTTCTTGCAACAAACAAGCTTTTAATATAACTTCCAAATAATTTCATTTTCAAAACATAATGTAGAGTAAATTAATTTTTTGTTAAAAAATCATTATATTATTACCAGCAGTAACTTGTTAATTGATATAATTAAGTCAATTATGAAAGTAGTGTCACCTGAGTTCAATTTTTTTTTAATAGTGTTTTTTAAACTTATGTTAAAAGTTTTGTATTTGTTTATTTTATTTTTACATATCAGGGGTGTGGAGTCGTAGAAAAAAAGTAACAACTCCGACTCCTGTGAATTTGAATTTTTTAAAAAATATAACGCAGTAAGTTAAAGAAATTTTTAAATTTATGAAATGTTCTTTGAGGTTTAGTATGAACATAAGGTCAATTAAATGTTTTGTAGATGCATGTGCAATACCAAGAAGATTTACTATCGGAATCAGAGTCGTGATTTTGTTTAGCGACTCCGCTAAAAATGTTGCAACTCCGACTCCACAGTCCTGATACATATAAAGACAGATTGATTTGCAGAAGGTTAAAAAAAACAATTGTGTCTATAAAAAACCATCTTCATTATAAAATAGTTGCCCCAATCAGTAATTGCAACTGTATTAACCCTAGGTTATAATAAAAATCTGTCATAAATTTAACCGAAAATAATTCTAAAAAAATAATGCTTAAATCAAAATTTAAAAATTTTGTTCTATAGGCCATGGCACAATGCATTCTCAACACTACTTTTACGTGGAGATTTTGAAACAGTTAAGCAAACAAAAAGTCTCATCACAAAAGTTATTGCTTATGAAGATTTAAATGAGTTGCCTATTGATATATTTAATGAGATTCATAGCTTTCTTATAAAATCCGATGTAAGTTGTTTTGTTAATGCTATTACAATGTGATAATTTATTTCAATGTGATAAACTATTTTTATAATTATTTGTTTTTCCTTATTGGTTTACACATCATAGTTTAATGTATAATAATTTAATATTAGGCTGAGAGACCAACAGAGTTGAGTCGTATTCCAGATTGCTATTTATTTTTGGCTTCATGTTATCAAGGATCTGGTGAAAGATTTCTTATTGATTGTGTTTTCAAAGTTCATCATCCATCATTAGGTGAGTTTTATCTTCCATTTTCATTTTGTTAACCTTTGAACAATTTCATTATTTTTTAAAATTATGGCTATTTTAAGTCCTGTATTTCATTATGATGTTTTCTCTAAATGTCTTGTATAAACCCCATTTTTTTGTTATTATATTTAAAGGTTTATACTGTTTTATACATTTAATACAACTATTCATACATATAATAAAACAAAATTAAAAAAAAATGTATCAATACTCTTTCGGTAATATTAGAAATGCATGGAGTTACACAGTCTTGCCTCACTATCTATACATTTAAATCTAGGATATTTTCATATCTTGTGTTTTACCACACACCTTTTCTGAAAAATATAAATATGATTTGAGTAATATTTATTGATAAATGTGATAACTTGAGTAATGAATTCTCTGTCATATTTGAAATAAAAGTAAACATGTAAAACTGAGTTATTAAATATTAAACTTGTGACATCAAGGTGTTTAATTACTGATAAAAAAGAATCAAATATGAAGAGATGTATAAAATCATTATATTAAGACACTTAGAATTCACTTATATAATATTACGGCAGGGATTGTAAAAAGCATTGACAGTTATCACCATTTTGTACAACACACTCACCACTTTAATTTGTATTTTGCAACAAAAAATACTCCTCTTTTTTTAAAGTACTAAAATATTATTTCTGATCAAGTAATAGTATTTCCAGACTTTTAAAAATTAATTTATTTTAAGTATTTAAAGCTTTTTTGTGTGGAAAAACAAACATAATAAATATATAAAAAAAATCTAAAAAGATAGAAAATTCTTATGTCATTTAATTTGCCATCAGAGTCATGATTATAGTTTGAGTAAAGATTTCTCTTTATTCAAATTATTAACATTCAATTTATCATCAGAGAGTCATTTCTCTTCAAACAGGTATCAATTTATCATCAGAGAATCATTTCTCTTTAAACATGTATCACTTTGATTTATAAACAAAGTGAGTCATTTCTCTTCAAACAGGTATCACTTTATCATCAGAGGGTCATTTACCTTTAAACAGGTATCACTTTGATTTATCATCAGAGAGTCATTTCTCTTCAAGCAGGTATCAATTTATCTTCAGAGAGTCATTTCTCTTCAAATATCACTTTATTGCTTTTAATATTTATCTCTTTTCCTTTATACTTTCTAATGTTTAATGTTATCGTTATTTTCTTTATCATGTTTCCTCAACCATTTTTAGTGTTAATTTTTTTCAATTATTTTTTTATTTTTATTTGTAGTTGAAAACTCTCCTGACTTATTTAAAAAGATGGCATTTTTAATGCATGTTGACTTAAGCAAGTTTGTATCTGATCATTCCAAAGTTATTATGGATATGTTTTTAAATATAGAAGTTGTTGAAAAGGTTTTTTTTTAATTTTATTTTGATTTTGAGTTTGATCCATTTTTCTGGTTTCAAGACAAGAAAAATTTAAAATGTTAAATGTATTTATAAAAAATAATTATTTTACTTGTATAAACAAAATAATGATCTAAAGAAATATTTTAAGAATCCAATAATTACCTATCTTATATAGATTCACATAAACACTTTGACAACTCTGCTCAGCATATCTTCTTCATTACTTATACCTTTATTTATGGAAATGATAAAAGAAAGTCTTAAAAACCCAGTTTTAAAGCAAGTATCACTCCACGAGTTTGGAATACTTAATACACCTGAAGGGGAAGTGTATGATCAGACCATTTTTGAAAGGTTTGTTACTTATTAATACTATTTAAATTTATAGTCAACTCTAGAAGTTACTCAAAAAAATTTTTAACTTCTATAAAAACAGATATCTGCAAAATTTCCAAATTCCAATTATTCCAATTATTAGGTTTGAACAAATTCTAAAAATTTATAAAAACAAATTAAAAATTTTGAATATAAAAAAATTGCGAAAAAAACTACAAGAATTATAAGATATTTTGATATTTATTTGAGGGGGGAGAGGTGTAGACAAAATTTGAAAAATAAAAACCATATATATTTTTAAAAAATATATTTGAAATATATATATATATATATATATACAGTATTGGACAAAACGAACTATACTACTACAGCAAACAGTTCAGGAGTCTAGAGTCATAGCATGTCATGACATGAGCAATCAGCTGACAGGTGACAGCACACAGGCAGAATTTTGTTGACAAGTGCCATTTTGCAGCAGACAAAACAAGTGCAACTTTTTTGGTTTATATCATTTTCTTAAGTCTGGTCTTTGTCAATGTCATGGAAGTTTTTTAATAATTAAAGGAAATATCCAGAAGTTTCCAGAAGCATGCAGATGCTTTCAGAAGTTTCCAGAAGAAGCATCTGGAAGCATCCATAAATATCCAGAAACATTCAGAAGCATCCAGAGGCATCCAAAAGCATCAAAAAGAAGCATCTAGAATCTTCCAGAACAGGTTCACACAGGTTCATTTACTATATGTAAGAGACATGTAAACCGACATGTAATTCAGTCAGTATATGGAAGTCAATCAGTCTATATTATCAAGACAGTTTATCGAAGTGAGTTTTATCAAAGTGTTTTATCGAAGAACATCAATAGAAGTGAAATACAACAATATTTCATTACATCAAAACAGTCCACATCCAACCAAGACATTGTGTTCCACAGAGCATTATTGTATCATCACAAGGTAAATGTAACATGGTGAGCCTTAAGAAGCGTGATTATTTATTTTTATAATTTTTATGACTTCAAGTGCAAAAATGGCTCCTGACAGTCTTGGGATTGGAACTAAGAAAGAAAATTATTGGCGGTTACGCAAGTGGAATGTCACAAAAAAGTATTTGTGATAAATAGCGCGTGAAAAAATTGACCGTATCAAGACTATGTTCCAAATCTTGTTCTACCGGGAAGTTAGCAGCAGGTAACAAAAGTGGAAGTCCGTGTCCCACCACTTCTAGAGAGGATTCTATGATCGTCAGATCCGTTAAGAAGGATCCCTGGATATCATTAGTCGAGATACAAATGCAATTAGAGCTGCTTCTATCGGACCGAACAATCAGACGACGTGCTGTTGAAGCCGAATTGTTTTTTCGATGCCCTGCAAAGAAACCACTAATTTCACTAAAGAACCAGAAGAAAAGACTTCTGTTTGCTACATCTCATATTGACTAGAATGTGCAGAAATGGCGAACTGTCATGTTCAGTGATGAATCAAAGTTCAACATCATTGGGAGTGATGCATTTGCCGTGAACATTGACTGGCTGGAAAACACCTCGATTTACGTTACTGCCATAAAACCATGAAGCATGGTGGATGCAATATAATGGTCTGGGGGTGTTTTTCTGCTAATGGTCTAGGTCCAATACATCGAATCAAGGGAATAATGGACCGTTTCATGTATAAAAATATCCTGAAAGATGTTATGTTACCTCATGCTGAATGTATTATCCCAATAAAATGGGTTTTTCAGCAAGACAACAATCCGAAACACACTGCAAAAGTAGTCAAGCAGTGGTTTCAAGACAACCACCTATCGGTGATGGATTGGCCGCCTCAGTCTTTGTATCTCAACCCTATCGAGCACCTGTGGGAGATTGTCAACCGCAGAATTAATCGGGAAGGTGTTCGTAATAAGGATCAACTGTTTGAACAAATCCAAAAGGCCTGGGCAGCGATTCCACAAAGTTTCATTGATCACTTGATCAAATCTATGCCTCGAAGATGCAAGGGTGTGAACGACAACAAAGGATTCGCCACAAAATATTGATATCGAAAAACAGCTTGTTCAACATTTTGTGGAGTTGTTTTGTCCAGAAGGAAATCAACTTTTTTTAATACTTTTGATTAATTTATTAATTTTTGTGTACAAATAATGAACTTTGTGATGAATAAAACATGAAGAACGTTGTCTCTAAACAGTTACATAGTTATTTCTCTAAATTAAAAAAATGCAGCACTTTTATATAAAGAAACTAAATTAGCATTATTTGGTTGCACTTGTTTTGTCTGATACTGTATATATATATATATATATATATATATATATATATATATATATATATATATATATATATATATATATATATATATATATATATTTATATATATTATATCAGGCCTTGCGATAAAGCGTCGGGCGATGTGAATTTTACGTTGTCTAAGAGCGATTTTGCCTGTAGCTAGGGCTATTTGCGTCGAGCAAAAAAATTTTTGTTTGAGTATATTTAAAGATATTTTTGAGCGGAATTTTAATGAAGTAATTTACGATTATTTTAACATTTAATTAAGTATTTTAAAAACCGTACGCAGTTGATATAAAAGTTTGATTTACAAAAAAAATAAATATGCTCATTATTTACAAGTAGAAAAAAATCAGATTAAATAAAAGTTTAAATCTTTTTAAGCTAGCATTTTAATAAAATTAATCAGCAAAAGCAAAGTTGTCATTAAAATTGAACAAAAATACTTTCTTTTAATTTTAGATTTTTAACTTAAATAATTATTTTATGGGGGTTTGTTAGGTTTTAAAATTATTTCATAGATTTAAAAATATTTATTAACTGTTAGACGAATTTAAAGTATTTATGAGTAATTTCGAGAAAACATTTTAAAAATTGGTAAGCGCAAATAAAAAAAAAATAAAAGGGTTAATATTAAAACGTATTCTTCTTGATTCAATAAAAAAGTACAGTTATTAAAATTTTTGTAAAAAGTAACTCGAAAAAAATTACTTAGATAATAACAATCGCTTTTTTGTTAAAAGTTACCGAAACTCAACAAAGCGTGCTCAAGAACAGTTGCTGAAAAAGAGAACGTCAATAGTTTTTCGAATAATTTTTAATAATAATTTTTAAGAATAATTTTTTTGCTGAAATATTTCTTTTATACCTAAAAGATTTTTATTCTAACATTTTATTTTATTTTATTTTACCAAAAATAAAATTCCTTGTAAACATTAAAAATCTATTCAAAACGTTCGTTAACGTTTTTAATAATATGAGTGATTATCAACCGCTTTATGAAAAAAAAAATAATAATAAATAAATGAAAAAATATTATATAAAATCGCTAGCAAAAATATTAGTTATTGCACAGTTTTTAATCGTACAATATTAAAATTTCTAGTTTATTACTCTCTGACTTTTTAAAAAGAAAAAATAATTAAAATTTTTTAAAAAGAAAATTTTTTTAACTTTTTAAAAAGAAAAAATAATATATATATATATATATATATATATATATATATATATATATATATATATATATATATATATATAAATATATATAAATATATATATATATATATATATACATATATATATATATATATATACATATACATATATGTGGATATATATATATATATATATATATATATATATATATATATATATATATATATATATATATATATATATATATATATATATATATGTATATATATGTATATAGACTCCATTTTAGGTCAGCTGCTTTTCTTAATCTAATTTAAAATAATGTCAATGATCTATATAAAGCATCAAATACTGTCTACTATTATGCTTGCAGCACCACTTTATTATATTCTCACAGTAACATTATCTCTCTATTTCAAGTAGCAAATAATGAACTAGAACAAATGGATGGTTAAGCGCCAAACCTGTCTATACGACAAAGTTGAAAAAAATGAGTTTATGTTAAAAAAAGATTTATGTAGTGTTTTTTTGCTAACACCAATATACTATAATTAAAACTTTTAAGTGCACTTAACTGCAAATACTTTTCATTTTTTGGGTTTAGTGTCTTTTGTTAAAGACTTTTAAAAACTTTGTTAAAAACGTTAAAAACTTTGCGTTTTATTACCTCTTTTCAACATATTCTTTGTATAGGCAGGTTTGGCGCTTAAGCATCAAAATATCCAACAGGCTTATCACTAACTAGCCTATCTTTAAACACTGAAAAAACTAAGTTTTCCTTATTCTATTCTAAACAAAAGTTTCTATTCCAAAATTCTTACCAATGCTATATATAAATAACATCAAAATTGAGCGCTCATTCACAAATAAGTTACTTGGTATTTTAATAGGTGAAAACTTATCCTGGAGAAATCATATTAAACATATTAGCTATAGAATATCAAGAAATATCAGCATTTTATATAAAACCAGACAAATCTTTGACAAATCTACACTAACTAAGCTATATTTTGCATTCATAAATAGTTATTTATCTCATGGCAATATTGGTTTGGGTAGTACAAATAAATCTAAACTCGAATGTCTCCTTAAACATCACAATCATGCAGCTGGCATTATTCATTTTCAAAATCGCTTTACAAATGCTAAACCTCTTCTAAAAAGCATGAGGGCACTTGATATTTATGAACTAAATATTTTCAAAATAACACAATTTATGTTCCAACATTAATCAAAAAATTTTTTTTTCCTAAAACATTAAACCAATACAAAACTCAATCTACCGGAAGATTTAAAAAACCTTTCTGTACATCAAAATTTATTAGCTTTGCCATTTCCATGTCATGCCTGTCCATATATTGTGGCCCAATGCTATGGAACCATTTTACAAGCATGAGTTGTAAACCTAAAGAAATCAATACCTCTCAAAAATTTAAAAAGAACATAATTGAACTTATTGCAAATCAAGATTCTTTACATGATTTCTTTAAACTAACATTTCCTCTGCAAAAAAAATAAGTTATTATGCTACAATTAATTACAACTGTAACACATTATTTTATAATAATGGGCAGTTACGCAAGAAAGAGAGGGAAAAAAGCAAAAAAATTGTGATAACACATACTAAACTCCATAACTTTTTTGTTTAGCTATTTAATAATATTTTCAAGCAAAAAAGTTATTAAAAAAGTCATTTTATCGTACATCAGCATTAGGGTGGTCCTTATAACAACTTTTTTTTTTAATGTCTGCTTCCACTCTTTACATATGTTTTACATAATAAAGTAACTAAAAGGTTTTTAAAAAAATTTTTTTTTAAGGCTAGCTTAAGACCCTTGAACATCAGACGGGTCCCTATAATTCTCAAAAAAATCTTTAATAGTATGTAATAGTATGTATGTTGGGTCTCATGGCCTATGTAACAGTTTACATTTTGTTACATTTTGGACCTGATTCTAAGACATTATGGACCGTGTATGTTACATTTTAGAGGCTGATTCTAAGATAAAAAAAGATGGCTGCGCAACTATAGGCAAAATATATAATTACATCTCATCTAGACTAAATAGTATAAATATAATATTATGAGTAGGAATAAAAAAGAATTTACGAAACTGACATTTTGTAATTTTTTTACTAGCAATTTTTGTATTTATAAACATATATATCTATGTATATATATTATATATATATATATATATATATATATATATATATATATATATATATATATATATATATATATATATATATATATATATATATATATATATATATATATATATAAAGAATATATACATATTTGTATCTATAATATAAATTTTTATATATTTGTACATTACACATTAAAAAAGACAACACTGGAAATTTAAGATAAAAAAAAGGTTAAAATTTATGTTTTTTTAAAGTATATTTTATTATGATATTATCTATTTATGCTTTTTTTTTCTTTATTTTTTAAATATTATTTTTCTCTGTCTACTTTTAAAACTTTTAACAGCATCTTTATGTGTAGTGGCATTGATTATCTTATGCTTGTTGTTAAAAAAGACATTAGTTATAATTTTAGAAGCAAATTTAAATCCCATTTTTTGTGTAAATCGGAAGTAAAGCAAACTGTTGGACAGTATTTTGATAAATCAAAATCCTAATACATCTTTGACATCAGCACCTTGTTTAGTTATTAAATTTGAAAGATTATCTAAGACTGCAAAACATCCACATATGAAGTTCTTAAGGGCCTACCAAGTCCCGAGACATGTTGTGTTCATATTAAAGAGAATGTTAAAAAAAAAACGTCTAAGCAAATTTTTTTTGATTAAAAATAATTAATAAATGTATACCAAGAAAAACAAATCTTGTTGTTTTAGTTGAAGCTCGTCTTCTCCGTTTTCTCTGGTATTTTGAGTATGTAAAATAAATGCGATTTTCCAGGCGCATTATACAGACTTGATAATTTATTCAAGCGCATTTAATTCATAGGAGTTTTAGATCATGAAACAACAAGATTTGTTTTTCTTGGTATACATTTATTAATAAGTTTTAATCAAAAAAAATTTGCTCAGACGTTTTTTTTTAACATTTTCTTTAAAATAAACACAACATGTCTCAGGACTTGGTAGTCCCTTTAAGTGAAAGTGAAAGCACAGTAAGAGCACCCCATAAAAGTATTTGTAATATGGACAAATATTTATATTGCATGCATATGTTGCAAGTATAGACTTGCAATTGCTACATTGACTTCTTTTTATTGATTTCTTTGCTATATAACAATCAATTGTTGTTGCAACTTCTTTTATTTCAGGTGATAATGTTAATTCTGATATCTCATTTGAGTTTAAATATTTATTAATGTAATTAATAAATATTTAAACTATTAATGTTAATAATTAGTAATTATATTAATGTTTAAATATTTAGTAATGTTATTAGTAATTCATCATAATTGTTCTTTATATCTTGAGCTTCCCAAAAGTTAACATTTTCTTTAATTAATGTCTGACATGGTAAAGTAATTTATGAATGTTGAACTTCTAGTAAACTTACTAGAAGTCTCCCACGACTCATCTATTGATATTAAGAAAATCTACAATCTATAGGGTCTTAAAGTCGTGAAGTAAGCACATACAAATTTCCTTCTTCAATAAGTTTGTCTATAAGCATTGCTTGAGAACGCAGAGTTGTGATAAGAGCAGATGATGTTTGTTTTGACAAAGTAAAAATGGAGATTTCTGCCAAAGTTTAATCCAATCAGCTAGTTGCCTAAAAAATGTAGTTTTACCATCATCAAAAATAAATGCATTACTAAGTTTATTAGGTCTAAATTATTGTTATGAATTTGAAACAGTCCACCATTTTTTTAAAATACTTAAAAAACCAGAAATGTCATTTCGTTCTGGAAAATAACTTTTAAAACTCGCAATTGTCATCAAAAAATCGACAATTGTCATTTCATCAAAAAATCGACAGTGCAAGAGAAACATTTTGCTTTTTATTACCAGGGTGAAGACTTTGATATGTAATTTTTAACAATATGAACACTATCATAAAATAAGTATATTTTATTATTTGTACTATCAGGATGATAAATAAATAAATTTGACTGATTACCAAATTTGGAATGAAGTAAGCTAAATAAATTTACATTTGCTCGATGATTGTCAGTAACAACTCCTCAAATTTTAAAATTAGATAAAGAAAGAGAACTAATAGAATATGATATTTGCTCTGAAAGCCATTTACCACTAATGGTAACTTTAGGTACTGCTTTTATAACATAAGGAATAGATTACAAAGTACCGTTGTCATCTGCACCCACATAGACACCACTACAGTATTGCTCCTGCTTCTGAAGATAAAATTCAACTACAATTAGTATTATATCTTCATGTATTGAACCCTTCTCACAAAGTGTTTTAACAGCCTTTATTGCATCAACTCCACTTTGTTTTTGTTTATTTAAAAAAGAAATTGAAGGTTATAGAAATGATTCAAGTAAAATTTCATATGCTTGTTTAGATGTATATCTTAATAATGAAGTATGTCTGATCATATCTGCAGAATATTGTGGTTGACCCTTTGGTTTATAGTATATTCTTCTATTTATTTCTTCAAGAAGTATATTTCTATTAGAAGAAGCTATGTTATAAATCTAAACTCGAATGTCTCCTTAAGCCATTCAGTTATTTTTTCATTTTCAGAAAAAAAACTAAGTTCATCTTTTTGATAAATACGAGTTTTAAGTGGTCTACTTAAAGCAATAGGTGATAATAGTGTGGAAGGCCATTTTAAGCAATCGGTTGATAAAATTTCAGGAATAGGGATTAAATTCCAATCTAACTTGCATTTTATACCTTGAATAATGTACTTTTTATTAAAATGCTTTACAACTTTTATATCTTTCAAAGAACTGTTGTATCCAGTTTTACAACCATATGCAACACATTTGTTAACCATAATATTCGGCTTTGCTAATAATAATAAATTGTCTAAAATAGCATTTTATATATTTATATATATATATATATATATATATATATATATATATATATATATATATATATATATATATATATATATATATATATATATATATATGCACACATGTATTTAATGTTTTTTTAATATTGCACTTTCACTATTTTGTGTAAATAGGCCTCTTTGAATTGGTCTCTTAATTGTAACATACACAGCTGTATAATATAGTAGGCCATGATGGGTCTTAAAAGAAGCAAAATTATATAAAAACTTTAAAAGTAATCATCATTTTGAAAAACATGATATACTTTTACTATTTTTTGGTTAATTATAGGGACCGTCAGACTTAATATGAAATATCAGACTTAATATAGCTGTTCGCTGCATTAAGTCTGACAAAGTTGTTTTTTTCAGAAGTGGAAAAAAGTAAAAGTTTTGACTGTTATGCTATATAGAGTTGAATTTTGAAAAAAGTTTAAGATTTTAATGCTGTAACTTTAGTACACTAAATTTATGATAGTATTTCTTGAAAGTTATTTCCATTTTTCGGTTCATTTTTAATAGCTTAAAGCGTGTCAAATGTTATGATTGTCACTCTCGCGATATTTGCCCATACATATATGAAACATTTAACAGGTCCCTAATATTATCAAAAAGAAAAATATTTTTTGTGTACTTAATTTTGTCACTTTTAAATACAAAGATTCCTTAAGAGCTTTTTTTTTTTTTTTTTACCAGAAACGGTAAATTTAAATGTCAATACATAAATATATGCATATATATATATATATATATATATATATATATATATATATATATATATATATATATATATATATATATATATATATATATATATATATATATAATTTTTCAGTGCAAAAGAAATGAAACAAGCGAATGTAAAACGTGAATCCAAAGTTTATTCATTTAAAGAACAAAAAATAGAAATGGAATTGAGGGAGGTATATACTTACATTTTTATTGACTTTTATTGACTTTAAAAAAAAATTTAAAATAATCCTGTTCAATTTGAAATTTTTGTTTAATTTTAATAATAATATTAGGAGTTAAAGAAAAACAAAGGCGAAAATAAAATTGAATTGAATGCAAAACAAAAAGAGCAGTTAGAAATATTAAAAAATCAAGAAAAAGAAGTTCGTAACAGACTCAAAATTGTAAGCAATATAGTAATGAAGTTTAGAAATATGATGATGATGATGATGATGATGATGATGATGATGATGATGATGATGATGATGATGATGATGATGATGATGATGATGATGATGATGATGATGATTTTTAAACTATTTATTTTAAATGTTGTTTCACTAGCTATCAAGTTCTGTATTAAAGCAAGTCACACTTCTAAATATTTGTTTTGCAAGTAAAGCAGTAGAACTACAATGTCACTATGCAGATTTAATTCATATGCTACTTGATCTTTCGAAATATCTGATGGTTGCTACTCATGTTGTTCCTTGTTATATAAGAATGTCACAGTGTATTTTTACTGATGATCTATCACATCTTGGTAAAATGAATATTCTTTAATTAAATTATTTTCTTCAACATTTGTTGTATTGTAGTTTATTATATTTTGTAGTTTATTATGTATTATTATTTAATTTATGCAGTTTATTTATTATTTTATAGTATGTTATATTATTACATTAAATATATTTTAATTTTAAATTTCATATTCATATTTATTCATATTCTTGCTGACAATAGAAAAATGGCTGAAGTTGCTTATTTGAAATTTTTTTGAAAAAATTAGCTTTAATAATCTTTTTTAAAAATAAATTTTGGAAAATTGTTATATAGGAGAATTAATTGGAAATGTAATAATACGTCACATCGACCCCCCATGCACATTGCCTTCAAATTGGTCTTCAGAAAAACTTAGTGATCAGACTGCTCGAGTTTTGGATCTTATTCACAAATTTATTAGCGAACGAAATCTCTATCTTATGATGGCTCATACTCGAAAAAAGCCTTTTACAGTTCTTGCATTTACATATTTATTGCCTTTATTAAAGGTTGTTTTAAAAGACCGTGGTTCTGTTATTAATGCAAATGAAGGTCTACGGATGAAAGCTTTGCAGATCATAATGGTGCACTGTAAATTGCGATCAAGTCCAGCAGATGATGTATTAAATTTTTTTTTAATAAGCAAGAAAATAAATTTATTTTTTTATATAAAAATCTTTTGATATATATATATATATATATATATATATATATATATATATATATATATATATATCAGGCCTTGCGATGAATCAGAACTGCGCGACGCATAAGCACGACGTGATTTTTGACGTCATTAAATTCTTTTTATTTGCTTTTCATATTTATCGACATTAACTGCACCAATTTACTTAATTACTGCAAAACTACTTTAAATCATTTATGTAGAAATGTTATTTTTTAAAAATGTTTTGGAATGTTTCGTTTTTTTAAATGTAAAAGCATTTGTTTATTTTCTCGACGTTTGTCACGTTTTGTCTATACTAAACGAATAAAAAACATTATAACTTAAATTTAAAAAATATTATAAAATATGCTAATATTTGATTTTTTTTTCTTAAATATGTAATTTAAATAATTATTTTTTCTTTTTAAAAAGTCAGCGAGTAATAAACTGGAAATTTTAATATTGTACGATTAAAAACTGTGCAATAGCTAATATTTTTACAAGCGATTTTATAAAATATTTATTTATTTATTTTTATTTATTTTTATAAAGCGGTTGATAAGCACAATCACTCGTATTAATAAAAAACTTAAACGAACCTTTTGAATAGATTTTTAATGTTAACAAGGAATTTTATTTCAAGTAATATAAAATAAAATGTTAGAATAAAAATCTTAAAGGTATAAAAGAAATATTTCAGCGAAAAAATTATTCTTAAAAATTATTATTAAAAATTATTCGAAAAACTATTGACGTTTTATTTTTCAGCAGCTGTTCTTGAGCACGCTTCGTTGAGTTTCAGTAACTTTTAACATAAAAGCGATCGTTATTATTTAAGTAATTTTTTTGAGTTACTTTTTACAAAAATTTTAATAACTGTACTTTTTTATTGAATCAAGTATAATACGTTTTAATATTAATCCTTTTTTTTTTTTTTTTTTTTTGTGCTCTCCAATTTTTAAAATGTTTCCTCGAAATTACTCTTAAATACTTTAAATACGTCTAACAGTTAATAAATATTTTTAAATCTTTTTTTTTAAAACCTAACAAACCCCCGTAAAATAATTATTTAAGTTTAAAATCTAAAACTAAAAGAAAGTATTTTTGTTCAATTTTATCGAAAACTTTGCTATTGCTGAATAATTTTATTAAAATGTTAGCTTAAAAGATTTAAACTTTTTTTTTAATCTGAATTTTTTCTACTTGTAAATAATGAGCATATTTATTTTTTTTTTAATTCAAACTTTTATTTCAACTGCGTGCGGTTTTTAAAATACTTTATTAAATGTTAAAATAATCGTAAATTACTTCATTAAAATTCCGCTCAAAAATATCTTTAAATATACTCAAACAAAAAATTTTTTGCTCGACGCAAATAGCCCTAGCTACACGCAAAATCGCTCTTGGGCGACGTAAAATTCACATCGCCCGACGCTTTATCGCAAGGCCTGATATATATATGTATGTATGTATATATACATATTTTTTTAATAGTAAATTTTATGTTATTTACATTAGTTATATAACCAGCGCACAAAATAAAAATTGAAGCTAGGTGGTTTGTGCGGCTAAGACATACAACTTACTCATCATAAACAATAAAAATGCTTCAAACATTTTAAAAAATATATCAGTTTAAAAAGAAATTTTAAAACTTGTTTTTAAAATTTTTTTTTATTCAGTCAACTTTGACTGGTAAGAACTTATATCAGTATGTCAAAACAGCATTTTTGATCATTTTAGGCAATTGTTGACTGTTGACTGCCCATTTTTTTTGTGCGCTAATATAGAAATATATTTCTTTCATTTGGTTAAATTTATAACTTTCATTATTTTAAACTGGCTTTTAGAACGTAAATTCTGTGCAATTACTTCCACGCACTGAGTTGTTACAAATATTATCTGGAGTTATAATAGGCTGTGATGGACATAACAAAGATTCTAAGATTCAAATTTATGCAAACAACGTTTTTGATGAAGTTTGCAAATCAGCTAATGGTTCTGTTGGATGCGCTAAAGCTTCACTTTCAGAGGTAGAACTGTTATTGGATTACATTCTTTCGAATTGCAGCATTTTAAGACATGCTTCTTTGAAAGGATTGCTAGAAATGATTGATATTTTGCCCATGTATGCTGAGGTTTTAATAGATACGTTAGGAAGAAGGGTCATGATAGCTAGATATGACTCAGATAAAAAAAACGCTGAACTTGCTGAGTTGTAAGTTGTTTTTTTATACATATATATTTATCCAAGTTGAATTTATCTTTTAACATTTATTACAAATTGTAGATAAAAAATAAAGCATCATCTGTATAGGGTGACCATATTTTTAAAAGACAAAACCAGGGCGCAAAAATGGAATTTAAAACAAAACAAAAAAAAACGGTAAATGTATGTCAATTATTAATTGGTCAATTATCTTTAAAACCCTGACCTGAAGGGATCCTAAAATGCTTCAAAAAAAGGCCTAAAGTATATCCAAAGTTTTTTTTAGTTAAGCCATGATTACTAGCATCTGTTGCAATTCTATAAAATATATTTTTTTCAACAACTTTTTTAATGTTTTAAAGAGGATGCAGAGCAATTATTGATTTAATTAAGGTAGCAGTTTTGGTTTGTGCTGCCGAAAATATATTTGTAATTAATGAATCTAAATACATAACTTTTATTAACTTGTAATTACAATCTGCACTACAACATAAATAATGATGTTTGACTGTATAATATGCGATGGTCAATTCCGATGCATATCTTTTTGTTGGGCCAAGATTTAATAAAAATAGAATCAACTTTTTTTGAACAACTTACTGTTGATATTTTGGGAATTTTTCATCAATGAGTTTTTTCCGGGAGTTCCCGGAATTCTGGAAATTCACTCAAAACGACTTTAATTTGCCGGAAAGTGCCGGATGTTTTTTGTTATTAATTTGAAAAAAAAATTATATATTTTTATATTAAATTTTAAAAACGACAACTTTTGCATTTAAACAAAGATGTTTTCTATAGTTAAAATTTTCACGAGATCAATTTTCATAACAATTTTTTTTCCTTTTTTTTTGCTTTTTAATTTATTCAAATTAACTTTTTCGAATATTAGAAATTCGTTTTGTAAAAAGTTAAAAAATCAAAATTTTGTTTTAAAAGTATAGAAAGTTTTTGTTTTCACATAATATGATCAATTTTTAATAAAATAGTTTTCCAGGACCTTCATTAAAAAAAATTTCTGCGATTTTTATAAAGTCAAATACTCATCTATGGTCTTTAATATCAGCCTGACCACCATGTCCAATTCCTGTAAATGGCGTACTTACTGAGAATTCTACTTAGTGGCAGTCTTTTCTTATAAACTACCATTCTTTGGAGAAATCTTTGTTGTGAATGCATTTAGGATTTGGCATTTTAACTAAAAACAAGTAGGAAAAAAATATCAAGTGAAAAAAACACCAAGTAAAAAGAATTTTGATTTAAAATCAAGAAATATATTCTTTTGTTAATGACCGACAGTTTAAAAATCAATAAATGCGTATTTATGCATATGAAATAATTAAGTATGTATGTCTTCTTATTAGAAAAATTTAATAAGAATACTATGTACTCCACTGATTTTGCAAAGTAGAACTGCGAAATTATATAAAATTCTATTGTTTAAATTTTTTATAGCCCGGTTTGTTTACGAATTTATTTTTAACACCAGGTGTGTACAGTTACGCTGACCAATACGCTGGCCAATGCGGCTAAAGTTTTGTTAAGCAAAAATTAAATAATCATATTTTAATTTTTTTTTTTAAAAAGCATAACTGTTTCAAAACCAGGAAAGGCGTGCGGTTTTTCGTCTTGTATGATTACACGCGAGAATCTTATTTTAGTCAACTTAAACACGGTCGTTCGCAAGTTTTATAATAATCAATGCTGGAAAAGTTTTAAAAACAAAGCAAAACTAACAAAATAAAAAAAAGATTAAAATAGAAAAAAATAAAAACACATTAATAGTTTAAATTATTTGTGTACTGTTTTATTTTTGTTTCTTTAGAGTGGTTGTTACATTCAGCAACAAAATTAGATACGGCGAAGCAAAAAAAAAAAACAGTTTGAAGTCTACAAATAAAAAGAATAATTTTCCTTTTCTTAACTTTTTTTTTTAAGAGGATAGCAAAAATATAAATTGCAATGTGTTTGTAAAATATATTTGTATAATTTTAATGTAACACAATAATGTAATAACAAGGGTTGAATTAAGCGAATGCGAAATGCGAAATCTGGAAAAATATCTAGTATTTAGAATTTTAGTTTATACAAATCGTTTTCCTTGTTTTTAAAAGGCGAATCAACTTAAATTTTTAATCACTTAAATTTGTAAACGAAAAAATAAAAAATAAAACAATAAACTTATTATTACAAAAGCAATAACACTCTTGTCACTAACTGCATAACAAAAGTAATAACACTATAATAGTGTTATTAACTTTATAGCACACTTATAACTTTTAAAATTCCTCCTTTGTTCAAGCAACATAAGTAATCCCAAATTTTAATTGAAGTAGAAAAATATCTGGAGGAATAAAGTGAATGTTCAAATAATATTTAAAACTTAAATAACTTATAAAAACGTGACAAACAACTTTATAAAAATGTAACTTATTAAAAGTTTAGCATTATGAAAAATGTTACTAATGGACCGTCAAAAGGCGCATTAATTTTAAAATTAACCAATAAAATTTTTTTGATTTTAAAATTAACGCGTGCCTTTACGTAATATTTTTCATAATGCTATACTTTTTATAAAATACTCTTTCATAACGTTGTTTAAGTGATATGTGAAAGCTCTTCAAATTTTTATTAATATTTTAATATCTGCTTTATTTTTTCTAGATGCTTTTTCACTTTAATAAATGTTTAGAATTAATAATGTTTGAAAAAAGAATGAACTTTAAAAGTAATAAGTGCTTTATAAATGTCATAACACTATTATAGTTTTATTACTTTTATAATGCAGTTAGTGACTAAAGTGTTATTACTTTTATAGTCGTAAGTTTATTGTTTTTGTTTTGTTTTTTGTAACTCTCTCGCTAGCAAACTTTTAATAATTTGCTCCTTGTTAACAAAGTACACAGCTTTGCATGAACTAAAATTTTAAAGACCAAATATTTTACCAGAGTTTGCAAATGGCGATCGTATAATTTAACTCTTGATATATACTTGTTACATTATAATTATACAAATATATTTTACAAACAGATGATGATACATATTATCTCTTTCCTTTTTAAAAGAAAAAACACATAAAATATAGGAAAGTCATCCTTTTTAATGCTAAAAATTGTTTGTTTGTTTTTTTTGTTTTTTTTGTGCCTCAACTTACTGAATTTTGTTGCCGATAATAATAACCACTAAAAAATACAAAAATAAAAATAACACACAAATTATTTAAATTATTATTATTGTTTTTTATTTAAGTTTACTTTAATGTAGTTTTCGTTTTAATGTAGTTTTTAAATTTAAAACTTTTTTCAGCAATGCATATAATAAAACTTGCGCAAACGACCATGATCAAGTTGTCTAAATTAAAAAACGTTTTTGTGGTCATGGGAGTCGAAAAACTGCATACCTTTCCTGGGAAGGCTTGGTAAAACCTATTGGTTATTACTATTAGCAAATCAGCTGTAGAAAAAGAAGATGGAAATCAATATTGATGATCAGAAAGTAATTTATTAGATTTAAGACAAAAGATTAAGTGTTTGTTAATTTTTTTTTTTTTTTTTTTTTTTTTTTTTAACATCTTCACTTCCAACAAGGCTGCAAGCAACCACTATAAGAGTTGGAAGTTACTGGAAGAGAAAAGACTAAAACTGTAGAGCAAGATAACGATTGACTGATGACTTAAAAGATTGCAAATTATATGAATCAGGAAAGCAAGATGAAGGAAGCGAATTCCAAAGAACTGATGTTCGAGGAAAAAAACTAGAAGAATAAGAGTTTTTGAAGCACTTAGGAACAGTCACAGAAAAAGGATGAGACTTAATTGAATGGCGAGTAACACGAGAATGAATTTTAGTAGATGGCACAAGGGACGCTAGCTCTTTAGAGCAGTGCCCATTATAGTATTTGTAGAAAAGAGAAAGAGAAGCAACATTACGACAATGTGATAAAGGTTGGAGATTGGCTGCCAGAGCAGGTCCAACTATGTTTACAATTCGCTTTTGCACCTTGTCTAAAAGAGAAAGAGCATCATTAGAAGATCCGCCCCAGATGTGGCAACAGTATTCCATACAGGGACGGATTTGAGATTTATAGAGATAGAGAATAGAATCTGGAGTAAGAAAGTGTCGAGCTCGATAAAGAGATGCAACCTTAGCAGATGCTAATTTTGCAATGGATTTGATATACGGTTTAAAAGAAAGATCAGAAGTAAGAGTTAATCCTAGAAGATGAATGGTAGATGACTCATCTAGTACATTACCATTCATAAATATAGGAAGATCTAAATTATTACGATAACGATTGGCCGAATAAAATTGAGTTTTATCTGAATTAAAGTTCACCAGCCACTGTGAGCCCCATGCTGTAGCAGAAGTGAGATCCTTTTCAAGCTCAGATACCCCCTCCAAGCAATCAGAGAGTGTAGGCTTTTTATCATGACAAGAGTAAATGGTAGTGTCGTCAGCGAATAATGCCACCTTAGGTGTGAGAATATCTGGAAGATCGTTAATGTAAATTAAAAAGAGTATAGGGCCAAGGATTGAACCTTGAGGAACCCCTGAAGTTACAGGATGTGAAGAAGAGTGTTGTCCATCAAGGACAACTTTTATACTACGATTGGAAAGAAAGGACTCAATAATCTTAAAGACGTTACCAGCTACACCATAAGAAGAAAGCTTATGGAGAAGACCAGCATGCCAAACTTTATCAAAAGCTTTAGAAATGTCAAGTGCGATAGCCTTAACCTCTCCACCTCTATCTAATGCACGGTAAAACCTATCGGTTATTACTGTTAGCACATCAGCTGTAGAACGAGAAGACCGAAATCCATATTGATGATCAGAAAGTAAGTTATTTGATTCAAGATGAGAGATTAAGTGTTTGTTGATTAAAGATTCAAAAACTTTGCTTATGACAGGAAGAAGACTAATGGGGTGGTAGTTAGATGAATCAGATTGTCTCCGGAATTTTTGAAAATAGGGATAACAGATGCTGCTTTCCAGCATGATGGAAAACAAGACTCTGATAAGCACTTGTTAAATAGTTTAGAAAGTATGGATGAAAGCTCCGGAGAACACCTCTGCAAGACTACAACAGGAATGTTGTCAGGACCACAAGCTGTTGAAGAGTCTAAGCAGGAAATTACTTTAGATACAGAAGCTGAAGTGATGCGGATGTCAAGCAAGGGATCAACCTGTTTGACGGCTATGTCAGGTAAAACGCAACTAGTGGAATCAAGAGATGATATTGATGAAAAGTTCTTAGCAAACAATTCAGCTTTGTCTTTAGGTGAGGTGACAAAGTCTGAACCATACAAGAGAGAAGGAATAACAGATTTGCCCTTATTATTGATACTGTTAAAGATTCTCCAGAAGTCTCGAGAGCCTAATTTTTGTGATGAGATACGAGATTTAATGACCTGGGAATAGCGAGCTTTGGCGTCAGACAAAACCTTTTTACAATGGTTTCTAGCGATAGTGAACAGATGTCTGTTTTCTGGAGAATTGTTTTGCTGATAGATATGGAAGTAACGGTTTCGATTAGAAATTGCTGCAGCGCAATGTGAGGAAAACCAAGGAGAAGAGTGAGGCTTGCCCTGGAATCGTCGAGAGGGAATAAAAGATTCCATGCCAGCCTGAATCCACGAAGTTATGTAAGAAGCACATTTGTCAGCAGGAAGACGAAAGATTTCTACCCAAGGGCCATCACGAAGAAAATCACGGAAAGAGTCCCAGTCAGCTTTAAGGTAGTTGTATGTGGTACGATGATAGGGGGATTCTGATGAAGTAGAAGAATTTGATAATAGTTTTAGAGAGATCAAACCGTGATCAGAAGTACTTAAGGGTGAATGTGGAGAAATTGAGCACTGACTAGGATCCAAAACAAGACATAAGTCGAGTAGAGAAGGTAAATGATTAGAGTTGTCTGGAAAACGAGTTGGAAAGTTGACTATTTGAGTTAGAGATTGAGAAAGGCAAAAGTTGAGGGCCTTAACGCCAGCAGAGTCACTGACACTAGAGCCAAGCCAATCGGTGTGATGGGCATTAAAGTCACCAACAACGACGATATTGGCCGATGGATAAAGAGAGAGGGCTTGGTCAATTTGATCAGAAATAACATCAAGAATAGTGAAATCTTGGGATGAAGGAGAGCGATATAGAACAAAGAGAAAGGCCATAGAGTAAAGTTGTGCTAAACGAAAGCACATAAATGAATAGTCTGGAGATTCAAACCTAGTTTCACGACAAATGGGTGAGTTCTTACGAATGTAGATGCCCAGGCCAAGCATGTGATTATTGGAGTCTTTACGAATTAAAGGAAGATAACCATCAACACTAAGATCACAAGATGGGACAGCCGAACTCAAATTAGTCTCACAAAGAGCAAGTAGGTCTGGTGAACTTTGCAAGAGATAAGACTCAACAGAAGAAAAGTTACTTCAAAGACCACGAATATTAGTAAATGATAGGTTTAGAGAACTTGGTGATGACGATGGTTTTTTGTGTTTATTAGTTTTAGGTACTTTAGTCATTTTAAATTTATAAAGAACTTGACTCAAGTATAGATAGTACTCAGTACACTATTTAACAACTAAGCAATAGCCTCATTACTAATAATAAACCCTAAGCCGTAGCAAAGGGCTCCAAATGTGGCCTCTGCAATGCACACCAAAAGTACAAACAGGGACACCATCCATGCGCAACATGGCACTGTTAGTACTCTGATATTTTTCGGCTGTTGATGGAATCAGCCTCTCTGAGAGCTACCACAGAGTTCGGGAAACCTGACTACCAGCCGGCCTCAGAACCATAAAACTGAGTTTTAGAGCTGTACCCTCATTAGGAGATAATAGAATGAGTTGCCCAGTCATAAAAATAGAGACACAAGCAATACCCACGCATTGAGTCAAGAAGATCCAGCGTTCAACATCCTAAACTGGAAACAATGTATTAAAAATACATCTGCGCCAGCCTAATAGATGAGGATTAATTAAAGATTCAAAAACCTTGTTTACAATAGCAAGAAGACTAATAAGAGAGTAGTTGAGATTGCTCTACAGAATTGAGTTAGATTGCTCTCCAGAATTGAGTTAGATTTCTCTCCCGAATTTTTGAAAATAGAGATAACAGATGCTGCTATCCAGCATGCCAGAAAACAAGACTCTGATAAGCGCTTGTTAAATAGTTTTAAAAGTATAGATGACAGCTCTGGAAAACACTTCTGTAAGACTACAACAGGTATGTTGTCCGGGCCACAAGCTGTAGAAAAGTCTATGCAGGAACTCACTTTAGATTCAGATGCTGGAATGATATGAATGTCAAGAAATGGATCAAACTGTTTGATGACTATATCAGGTGGAATGCAATTTATGGAATCAAGAGATAATATTAATGAAAAGTTCTTAGTAAATAATATAGCTTTGTCTTTAGGTGAGGTGACAAAGTCTGAACCATACAAAAGAGGTGGAATAACAAATTTGTCCTTGTTATTGATACTGTTAAATATTCTCCATTAGTCACAAGAGCCTAATTTTTGTGATAAAATACACGTTATTATGACTTAAGAATAGCGAGCTTTATCGTTTGACAAATCATTTTTACAATGGTTTCTAGCAATAGTAAACAGACTTCTGTTTTCTGGAGAATTGCTATGAAGTCTCTGCAATGATGTTTTGCAATGAGGTCCTCAAAGCAAAAGGTTTAAAAGGTATAAGACATTAAAGCAAATTTTTCTTTTTTTTTTTTTATAACAAAACGTCCTGGTTTTTATCTTTGTTTTTAAAACGTCGTACCAAGTTAACTTATAATTAAAATTTTAAATTATTGTTTTATCAACAATTTTTTATTATTAATTTACTACTTTAAGTATATTAAAATATATATTAAATTTGTTTTTGTCAAAAAAAATTTCAATACTTAATGCTAATAGAAACCAGTAATTTTTTGCTCCAAGGTTTTTCGCTTTAACAATCCTGAACTTTTTAAAGTTATATTTACTTTAATTTAAAGTTTTGTATTTTATCTTATAATGCATTAATGTTTTATATTATTTTAATGTGGCAAAATAGGTTAAAATTTTAATTTGAAAATAATAAAAAAATATTCACATTTAAAAATTTTATATATAAGGCTGTGGGAAAAAGCGAAACTAACAGTAAGTGGTGGAATGACATGTGACCTAGTTGAAGATATAATTCATCCTTTGGCTGACATACGTACAGCATCAAGCATGGCTCTTGCAACTTCGCTTGGAGAGCAACCAGCATTAGCACCTATGGTTATCAGTACATTGTTAATGACATACGAAGAACAAAATAAGGTTTAAAATAAGTATTAAAAATTTTTTTCTCCTATTCTCATGATTTTATGTTTTACGAATTTCTATGAGTCATTGTTTGAGTCATCGAATTTCTATGAGTCATTGTTTGAGTCATCATTTTTGAGTTTCTTATATTTTTATTAGATAAGAGTTGACATTTAACATAAAATGTTAAATAGATGTTTAGAAGATTTTCGTTTTACAATTAATTGTGTTTTTAGTTTAATAACTTAACACAGTTTTATTTTTTTAACACAGAAAAGTCTACATTTGTTAAGAAGTTTATATGTTAATATTTATTTATGAACAATGTTGCTGTAACTTCCTTTTTTTTTTATTTTTTATTATTATTATTATTATTTTTTTTTTTTTTGTGGTTCAATTTATAGTTAATGGAATAGTTTTTTTTATTAAACTTGTTTTTGATAAAAAAATTTAGTTAAGAAGTTGTTGATTTTTTTAATGTTTAGCTACTTTTTTTTAGTTAAGAAGTTGTTGATTTTTTTAATGTTTACTTTTTTTCCTCATAGTTACTTTTGTTTAATTTATTACTTTAATTAATAATCTTTTTGTTTAATAAAGTCATTATTAAATTTAGTTTATGTGTAGTTGTTATTATAAATTAGTTTTAAAATGGAATAAAATTTTTAAAGATTCCTGCTCCTGTGATTGATAACCTTGGTCGTGCAGTTTCAGTTCATTTTGTTGATCCCTGGGAAGCGCGTCAAGGAGTTGCATTAACTCTTGAAAAAATCATTGCATTTATTCCTGATGAACAGGTATTTTTATTTTATTATATTTTCTACATTTTTACAATTTTTTAACTTGAAATTTAGCTTTATTTTTTTTCTCTTTAGGTGGAAGTCTTATTTCGATTTTTTGTACCTACTGCTTTTAGCGATCGTAATGAACTTGTTAGAAAGCAAATGTTAGATGCAGCTCTTGCATATGTTAACCATTCTGGACAGGTAGATTTATAAAATAAAATAAAAAATTTATTTTATTTTTTAATATATATAATTTTTTAGAGTTATATAAATTACATAAAAATTTTAAATATGGAGTAGTAATTAACATTAATAAAAAATTTACATTGTTTATATATTTTTTTAAATAAAAATTATTTATTTGTTTTTTTTTAATAATTATTAGTTTTATTTTTTTTATAATTATTTCATAAAAATGTTTATTTTTTTATTAATTATATTTATCTTTTAACTTATGTGTGGAAACATTTATATAAAATCAAAAAGAGTGCTTTTTTTAATTTTTTATAAATGTTTAAATAATTTTTATCCAGATAGAAATTTAAAATACCCTTATTTTTAAAATTATAAACTTCATTATAATATTCTTAAACTTAAAATTTTTTCACATATTCCAGGTTATTTAAAATCTTTTTAATAGAATTTTTTTAAAAAAACCTTGTTTACTTTAAATTTTTTGAAAGTTTTGCAACACTTTAATAAAATAAAAATAACTAAATGTTTTTTTAACCAATGATGTCATGTTGTATAATGTCATCATACTTTAGTCACTCTGTAGTCATGTGTTTATAACAATATATATATATTTTTTTTGCCAGAATCACATGACATTGCTTCTAAGTATATTTGAAGAGTTCCTTGATTCAGCACCAGATTCATCTGCACATGATGTAATACGTCAGTCAGTAATCATTTTGACTGGATCTCTTGCCAAACATCTTTCTAAAACTGATCCTAAAGTAAGTGTATTTAGGAGAACTATTTACTTTATTTTATTGTGTTCATATCTTGCCATTCTATTAAAATAATTTTAATGTTGTATTTTTAGATAAAACCCATCTTTTTAAAGTTAATGGCTGCTTTAACCACACCCTCTCAACAGGTAAGTACTAGACTTTTAATTATTTTGCATAAGTTATGTTTGTTTATAAATAGCATTAAATGTTTAATTTTAGGTGCAAGAGGCAGTAGCAAATTGTTTGCCTCCATTATGTCTTGCCATTAAAGATGATGCTCCAGATCTTATTAAGAATTTACTTAATCAGGTTTTAAATTTTTTTAAATAATTTACATTTTTAATTTTCAAAGAAAAAAAACTAATTATCTATTTTATTATATATTATTTTTTATTTGTGTTATTTATTTTTTTGTTTATATTGTTATTTTTAGCAATTTATTTTTTTAATTGTTGTTATTTATAATTTTTGTAATTCATATATTTTTTTTATCTAATTACATAATTATATTAGATTAGTTAATAATTTTTTTGTTTGTAATAATTTAGTTGTAATTATTTAATTCTTAGCTGTTTGAATCAGAATCATATGGAGAACGTCGTGGTGCAGCGTTTGGACTAGCGGGCATGGCAAAAGGTTTAGGGATTCTATCATTAAAACAACACAATATTATCAGCACTTTAAATGAATACATTCAAGACAAGAAGGTTTGGCGGCATAGAGAAGGTAAATATTTTTGATATCTCACTGAATTATATTTTGTTGTCTAAAATAATTTTGGTTTTTATTTCTTACTGGGTACCATGTGTAATTTCTTCTCATTAATTGTAATTTTTATAAAATCTAGGTCTTTAGAGAAAGCATATCATACCTTCTACAACTCTTCTTAAAGATGGTTTAATATTTATATTAAATATTAAACGATCTTTAAGATATTATAAGACAAAATCTAATAACAATTTAATAAGATATTAAGATAAGATATTATAAGACAAAATCTAATAACAATTTAATAACTTAAGTGATGGCGTTCTTGTGATTTCTCTGAACTTCCTTTTTTTATGTATATTCCTTATTGTTTATTATATCTCAACTTTGTATCTCTTAATTTTCTTTTGTTTTTTGATATTGATATTTTTGATATTGATATTTTTGATATTGATATTTTTGTTTATTGATATTTTTTAATATTGAATAAAAGATAAACAAACAAATATTTTAGAATATTAGAAACAAAAAAATATTTTTGAATATTAATGAAATAAATTTATAAGTTTAAAATTAATTTGATAAATTTTTGATTATATATTTAATTTTTATGTTGTTTTTAAAGAAAGTAATTCAATGAAATAAGTTTTTGTTAAAAAGTCTTTTAAATTTAAATTTTAAAATTATTTTGTCATATAATTATTTAAAAAGTTGGTGATGTTACATCCAAGTTGTTATATATATCTGATTTTATATCTAATATATTTGAGATTAAATTTTTTTTTTTATAAGATTTAAAAAAAAAAAAGCTTGATTATTTTTACAAGATAACATTTTTTAGAATTGTTTTAATATTTCATAATGATAAAAAATTATTTAAATTTTATTTTTAAATATTTACTTTATTTTTTTGTTCTTGTATTTTTAATTTTACGATTAAATTTTCTTATTTTTATTAAAATATTTTATTAGGTGCTTTATTTGCTTTTGAAACTTTATGTACAATGCTTGGTAGACTGTTTGAACCTTATGTAGTTCATCTGCTACCTCATTTACTATTGTGTTTTGGAGATGGTAATCAGTACGTAAGAGAGGTAATTATTTTTTTATTTTTTAAGTTTTATGGTAGGCATAATTTTCAAATAAAAAAATTTTTGAAAACATTTTTGAAACATTTTTGAAATCTCCATTTATTGTGACTATAAGCCTTTACATGTGTTGCTATGGCTAATTTTTTGCAAAGTACATTTTTTTTATTTTATGAGTATTTCCTAAGAATGTTTTCATGTAATAGGCAGCTGACGAAACTGCAAAGGCTGTTATGAGAAATTTGAGTAATCATGGTGTAAAACTTGTGCTACCATCTTTACTTAAAGCATTAGAAGAAGAATCATGGCGCACAAAAACAGGTAAAATTAATTTTTCAAAGGTTTTATTTTGTAAATTCTTATTTTATAGTTTAAAATTTATACGATAATAATATTTTAAAGTCATTAATGGTGAATTCATAACACCAAAGATTTTCTTAAGTTTGTTCAATTACTCGATTAAAATAAAGTCTAATAATTTAATTTTAGGCAGTGCTGAGCTTTTAGGTGCTATGTCATTTTGTGCTCCCAAACAATTGTCATCTTGTTTACCTAGTATTGTCCCACGGCTAACAGAAATACTTGCTGACTCTCATTTAAAAGTACAGAAGGCTGGGCAACAAGCACTTAGACAGATTGGTGGTGTCATTAGAAATCCAGAGATTCAAGGTTTTTATAAATTTTATAACATTTTGAGACCCATATTTGAAGAGCTGCTATTATGTTTATTTTTAAACAATTTTTTTAATTCATTTATTTACAAATTGTTTTATTACTTCAATATAACAACAACAACTTGTTTTTTTTTTGTTTTTGTTTTTTTTTGAAATTATAAAAACTTTAAGTTTTATTTTTTATTATAATAACTATAATAACATATATAAGTATTATAATGACTTTTTTATTATAATATTTCTTTATCTTATATGTTTTATAATTATGATTTTTTTAAAAAAACAAACAAAAAACCACCAATTAATATATAATTTTATAGAAATATCATCTATTATACTTGATGCATTATCTGATCCAAACAAAAACACAGTGGCTTGTCTTCAAGCACTACTAAATACTTCATTTGTTCACTTCATTGATGCTCCATCTCTTGCTCTAATTATGCCTACACTAGAGAAAGCATTAGATCAAAGACCCACAGAAACTAAAAAAATGGCTGCTCAAATTCTTGGAAATATGTATGCATTAACTGATCCAAAGGTAAGTAAATATGTATGCATTAACTGATCCAAGGTAATAAATCATATAATTATTTGTGGGTGTGTTGTTTATAACTTTTAAAAGTTTGCAACTTTTAAAAGTTGAATATCATCAATAATCATTGTAATTTTAATTGGAAAAACTGCATCGAAATCAGTTTTGATTTTCATTAAGTTTTTTTTTTTATGAATGTAAAAATATAATGCTTATATTATTGTCAAAATTAATTTTTTTTTTTCAAATTTTTTCAAATTTTTTTTCCAAATATACTGTTATACTATTAAACAAATATACTAAAACTTTCTTTTAAATATACTATTGTCAATATTGTTCTTTTTTTTTCGTTTTTATATATAATGATAGTATATACTTGCATAATAAACAAGTAGAAAATTAAAAATAACAAAATGGAATTTAGATTGAGATAAAAAGAACATCCAACAATAGTCAGTGAAATGATTTATTTTTATATATTTTATTGTAGTTTTTTGTTATGTCATCATAGGACTTGACTCCCTACCTGCCAGCTGTTGTACCAGGTTTAAAAAAATCTTTGTTAGATCCATCGCCTGAGGTGAGATTTTTTTTTTTGGTAAAAAGATAAGTTTCCTTTTTTTTTTTATTGTTGAATAATTTTTATTGTATATTTATTTTGTTATAATATATATATATATATATATATATATATATATATATATATATATATATATATATATATACAGGGGCTATTCTAAGAAAAAAAATTGGGCAGCGGTACCCCTAGTCCCGGAGGAATAGGGGTACCGCTGAATATCGGCGGTTTTTCACTTAAAAAAAAAAACAATATTTGCCGTGAAAAACATTTAAAAAAAAGGTCCTTATTTTTCAATTTAGGTGGCACACAAATACAGTCGACACTGTCGAAAACAGTCTAGAATAATTCTATATATATATATATATATATATATATATATATATATATATATATATATATATATATATATATATATAACTTAGTAAAAACACTTATCTAATTTGTGTGCTCTTCAACAGCATGTTTTACCATCAGTAGGTTCATCAGGAATGTTTCTTTGTTTTATTTTAGGTAAGAGGGGTTTCAGCACGTGCATTAGGTGCAATTGTAAAAGGAATGGGTGAAGAATGCTTTAATGATTTGATGCCATGGTTACTTGAAACACTTACATCTGAAATCAGTAGTGTTGACAGATCAGGAGCTGCACAAGGTTTTTAATAAGATTTTTTAATTATGTTACTTGTTTAAAGTTTGTCACCAGACCTTTCATTCTATCAACAAATCATTTATTTAAATCTTATTACCAGATTTTTAATGTGTCATTATTAGCAAGTCTTTTGTTTAAATCTTTTTATTAAGGTCTTTACCAAGGTCTTTATCAAATAATAAAATACAAGATTTTATAATGAATAAATTATTTTTAAAAGGTTTATCTGAAGTGCTCCATGCGCTTGGTCAAGAAAGACTAGACAAATTGATGCCTGATGTCATAGCTACTACCATGAAAGTTGAATTGCCTCCGTTTGTTAGAGAAGGATACCTCATGTTATACATCTATCTTCCTGCTACATTTGGTGATGACTTCATTGGGTATATTAGCTCTATTGTTCCAGCTATTCTTAAAGTAAGTTTTTTTTTTTTTTCCCTTGTTTTTTTAATTTTTTTTTTAATTTTTATTTTTAATTTTTTGCTTTTTTTTAAAGATTTTTGAAAATAATTTTGATAAATGTGATAAAATTTAATTATTATTATTATTAAATGATATCTAATAAACTTTTGAATAACTTTTATTGCTAGTATTATTTATAAAATTATTTTTTAAGTTTTATTATTTATAAAATTTTTTGAAGTTCAAATTTGTTTATTGTGTTTTTCTACAATTTCATGCTTATACCTTCTTTTTGTTATATTAAATGTTTTCGATTCTTTATTTTATGCTCATATCTCCTTTTTGTTACATTACGTGTTTTAGATTGTTTATTACAATACAAGTGAATCAACAAGAACAAAATTCTATTTATTTTACTTATTACTATTAATTATTACCACTTATTTACTAATAACATAAATTTATGCTTTAATGGTTACATTGTTGCCACAGTTACCATGAAAATCAAAATGCAAAAATCATACAATTAATAGTTGATAGTATTGTTATTAGGGCTTGGCAGATGAAAGTGAGTATGTTCGAGAGACATCATTGAAGGCGGGCCAAAGAATAATTAATATGTATTCTGAAAGCGCTATTGAGTTACTTCTTCCACAACTTGAAGCTGGACTGTTTGATGAGCACTGGAGAATTAGGTATAGCTCTGTTCAATTGCTTGGTGATTTACTCTTTAAGCTTTCTGGTGTTACTGGAAAACAATCTACTATTGGTGATGAAGATGATAACTTTGGAACTGCTTATTCTTCACAGGTTTTTTTTTTCTTTCTATTTATTTTTTATATTCTATTATTTATTCTTTTTTTATTTATATTTATTATAGTAGATAGCATTGGTATCCTGAATTAAAATATTTTTCATTTTAGATATGCATTTTATTAATGCTATGAAGCTTTTTCCTCTTTAAAGGAAAGGAAAATTCTTCTCAATTTGTAGACTGCTTATTTTATTCATTTAGAGTGAGAAAATTAGTTTTTATGCTTTCATATAAAGTTATACAATTTTGTGTTTTTATGTTTTTAAAAGGTTATTCTTGAAACTCTGGGGCAAGAAAGACGTGATCGTGTTTACGCTGGCCTTTATATGGGTCGCTCTGATGTTGCGTTACATGTACGACAAAGTGCTTTGCATGTATGGAAAGTTATTGTACAAAACACAGCAAAGACATTAAGAGAGTTATTGCCAACCTTATTTGAACTACTTCTAGGTTGTTTAGCTAGCCCTTCATATGATAAGAGACAGGTAAACTTTTTTTTCAATCAATTCAAATTTGGCTTCAATTTTAACAATAAAAATAATTAACCCTGAGTATAGTGCTGAGTACTTTGGCCCACAATTCAACAGGAGTCTTATTTTTTCAATAAGCAATATGCCTTCTCTAGGCAAGTTAATCTTACTGTATCCACTATGCTTAACTCTCAGTATCCACTATGCTTAACTCTCTCCAATTTTTTTTCTGTGTTCTTTAATTTTTATTCTTTATTTTTAAATTCTTTAATCACTTTTCTCTTTTTTTTTTCTCTCTTTTTTTCTCATTTGAAAAATTTAACTACTGCTTTATTATCTTCTGAATTTTTTTCTGTGAATTCTGCAATTTTTTAGTCCTAGGTATTCCTGAACAAATCCAGTCTTAAATTTTTTTCATGTTAGAAAAAGTTATAATTTCAAAGTGGAGTTGGGAATCTTTCAATCTAGCCTCATTGGTGTCTATGGATGTATAAATAATTATTTTACTTATTTATATATCCTATCGATGTATAAATAAATAAAATTGAGTTTAAAGAAATTAAACAGCATTACAACATATATAAATAAATAAAACTGTTTGTTCCTTAGTGGTTAGTCCCTTACTTGGGTCTCTTTGCTTTGTAGGAGTTTAAATTGATTTAAAAAATAATATTATGTAGTATATCAGTTTATAGTGAAAGATAATGATTTTAAATTTAGTTTTACTTATAAATATTTTGAAATATATAAAATGATTTTAGGTAGCTGCACGCACTTTAGGTGATTTAGTGCGTAAACTAGGTGAGCGAATTTTACCAGAGATAATTCCTATCCTTGAAGAAGGTCTTAACAATGAAGCAGGAAGCAAAAGACAAGGTGTTTGTATTGGTCTCAGTGAGATAATGGATTCATGCAGTCGTGAAATGGTTGGACAATTTGAAGAGTCCCTTATATCAACTGTTCAAAAGGCGTTACTTGATCCACTTCCTGAAGTTCGCTCTGCTGCTTCATTGACATTTGAAAACTTGCACAACACTATAGGTCATAAAGCTCTTGAGGGTGTGCTTCCACATGTGTTTGAAAAACTGGTAACTGTTAACTCTAACTGTTTATGATGACTATTTATGATAACTGTTTATGATGATTGTTGTCTTGGTAACTGTTAACTTTACAAATTTAATGAAGATGATTATGATGATTATGTTGATGGTCATGAGATAAATATATTTTATTCTTTTAATGACTATTCATGATGACTGTTGTCTTGGTAACTGTTAACTTTACAAATTTAATGATGATGATTATGATGATTATGTTGATGATCATGAGATAAATGTTAAATAATAAATATTATGAAAATAAATATTGATAATGCTTGTTTGTCATTATTTGTTTCCAGCAAATGTCAGCTATTTATTTCTAGGAAGATCCTGATCTCAGTGAATTTGCATTAGATGGGTTAAAACAAGTGATGGCTGTTAAAAGCAAAATGGTTTTACCTTTTCTTATTCCTAAACTTACAAAACCTCCTGTCAATACCAAAGCTCTTTCGATTCTTGCATCTGTTGCTGGAGAAGCTCTAGTTAAGCATTTGGAAAAGATATTACCTGCAATGATTGAGGCTGTTCATCTTTCAACAGATAATTCCGTAAGCTTTTATCTTTTTTAATTCTAATTTTCACAACTTGTTATTATCTAATGCAAAAACACTAGGTTTAAAATTTTTTTGAATTAAAAATATTATGGGGTCCCTCAAGACCCTCGAATATTTAATGAGTCCCTAATATTTTCAAAAAAAAAGTTTATCAAAAATATGTCAACCTGGTACTAAAATGAAGCGAAATTATATAAAAATTTTAAAAATTATATTCATTTTTAAAAAATTTCAACTTATAAAAATTGTCATAAAAAAACATAAATGCAATTTTTTCATTTTTTGTTAAAAAACATAATTTTTTAAGTAATAAAACCAAAAATAACAATTTTTTCAAAATGAATATTATTTTTGAAATTTTTATATACTTTTGCATTTGAGTACCAGGTTGACATATTTTTGAAAAACTTTTTTTCAAAATATTAGGGACCCATTAAATATTCAAGGTTCTTGAGGGACCCCTTAAAATATTTTTTATTCAAAAAAACTTTATACCTAGTATTTTGTTTTAGGTAGAACACATTTAGGGGGTGGGAGCAGGTTTTTCTCAAAAAAGTTGTTTTAAGAGCCACCCTATATATATATATATATATATATATATATATATATATATATATATATATATATATATATATATATATATATATATATATATATATATATATATATATATATATATATATATATATAAAATTAATTATTCACCTCCCCAAGGCCCGAGGGGGCCACTACAGTTGAGGAGGCTACTCTTTTTTTTGTTGTTGTTGTAAATCGTGGTACAACCCTCTCTCAACTCTTTAACTCCGAAACATGAACCTTGACAAGCAAGGCCGCTGCGCGGAGAAATTAAGTTGAGCGCGGTACTTCCAGAGAGGTGGTGGGAGTCGAACTTTGAACCTCTCGCTTACAAAGCAAGCGCACTTACCACTACACCACTACCGCAATATATACCGCATAAATATATATATATATATATACACATATATATGTATGTATATATATACACACACACACACACACACACACACACACACACACATATATATATATATTTATATATATATATAGAGAGAGAGAGAGGCCTCGGTGCAAAGAGGGATTTAGCTCTTGCTCTCGTCTACACTCCTCTAAAATGGTTTACAGAAGCAATTTACAGCTTTCATAAAAGTATAATTATCATTGTAACTAGTATGAAAAACACAGTCACAAAAAAAAAATTATTTACATTATAAACTGCAATCCTTTTTTAAAAGGCACGGTTGTTGCAAAAAAATTTAAAAAAATAAATAAAAAACAGCATAGATTTAAATTAAATTTTTTTTTATTAGATTAGACTATTTGATAATTTTAATATTATTACACTCTAAATTATATTGATAAAAAATAAAATTATGACATAAAAGTATTGCATAATAATTTTTATTTTATGTAATGAATTATATATTTTATATATTAATTGCTTTAATATTTTATTCACTTTTATTGTAAAATTTATAATTTTTGTAATAATTCTTAAAATGCCTGCATTATACTACAATAAGAAAATATAAAACATTTTTTAAAAGCAGTAAAAACTTTTATAGCTCTTTGTAAATTTTATATTATGTATGTATGTATGTGTATATATATATATATATATATATATATATATATATATATATATATATATATATATATATATATATATATATATATATATATATATATATGTATATATATATATATATATATATATATATAAATATAAATATATACAGTGAGTCCAAAAATTATTGGCCCACCTTTGCATAACTACTTTATTTTTGTTGGCATATAAGAACTATAGGAGAGAATTACTAAGTGTTAGTATCATTGTGTCGTCTGTTATCACTAGTATATATACAACAAGTTTCAGCTTTTCAATTACTTTCGTTCTTGTTTTATTGAGAAAACAGTATAAGTTTAAGTTCAAATATTATGTACAAAAATTATTGGCCTAGAGAAAAGAAAAGAAAATAATACTTCCAAAAAATTCTAGAAATTTCCTGTTTTTTTCAGAATGTTATAGAATTGTGTCGACGCTATATCTAGAACCACTAATCATAGTATAAATACTTGCGGATTTCTTCACTAAATGATAATTTACTAAAATGGCACCTAAAAAGAAAGAACATAGTAATGACCTTCGAGCTTTAGTAATTCAGCATTATCAAAACAGTGATTCTCAACGAGAAATTGCTGCTAAGACATTACTTCCTCGAGAGACAGTACGATACATAATTAAGAAATACAAACAGACAAAATGTATTGGTAATTTATTTGGGTGTGGTCGAAAAAGGAAAACAACCGAAACATTGCATCGATTGATAGTATGCAAAGTTAAGTCCGATCGACGTAAATCTGCCAATGCTGTGAAGATCGAGGTCAAGACCGAACCAGGAATATCATTATACGCCAATACCATTCGAAATAGACTTCACGAAGCTGGACTTTATGGTCGTGTAGCAAGAAAGAAACCATTAGTCAACAAAATCAATCGAGTTAAACGACTGAAATACACAAAAACAATGTTGAATAAGGCGATAAAGTTTTGGGAAACTGTCATTTGGTCCGATGAATCGAAATTTAATTTGTTCGGGTCTGATGGAAAAGTAATGGTATGGAGAACACCCAAGGAAGAATTCGATCCACATTGTACTCTGGCTACGGTCAAGCATGGTGGTGGTTCTGTTACCGTTTGGGGTTGTTTTATGCTAAATGGAATTGGTGAATTATGTATTTTGGACCATACAATTGACCAATTTTATTATCGTGACATCTTGGAGCAGCATTTGTTACCATCGATCCAAAAATTTAATTTTGGACAAGAATTTTTTTCTTCGTCCTTGCCTGATCTCAATCCCATAGAACATCTATGGGATGAGATCGACCGGAGGATGAAGAAACACAAGCCGAAAAATATCTAGGAACTTGGAGACCTCTTGAAGAACAAATGGAATAACGTCGAGTTGTCTGTTCTCCAGAAACTTGTTGATTCAGTACCAAGTAGATTACAAGAATGCATCAAGATGAAAGGTTACCCAACACGATACTAGATTCGATGAAATACCTGTTTCGCCATGGACAAAAATTTTTTTCTTTTCTCTGGGCCAATAATTTTTGTACATAATATTTGAAGAAACTTATACTGTTTTCTCAATAAAACAAGAACGAAAGTAATTGAAAAGCTGAAACTTGTTGTATATATACTAGTGATAACAGACAACACAATGATACTAACACTTAGTAATTCTCTCCTATAGTTCTTATATGCCACCAAAAATAAAGTAGTTTTGCAAGGGTGGGCTAATAATTTTTGGACTCACTGTATATGTGTATATATATATATATATATAATATATATATATATATATATATATATATATATATATATATATATTTATATATATATATATATATATATATTTATATATATATATATATATATATATATATATATATTTATATATATATATATATATATATATATATATATATATATATATATATATATATTTATATATATATATATATATATATATATATATATATATATATATATATATATATATTTAGTAATACTTGTATTTAGAATGTCATAGTCATATATTTAATACAATAAAATTTCAATCCAACAATGACTCAGATCGTTGACCTTTCTCTTGCTTGTTGCACAGAAGGAATCAAAGGTGCAATTTGTCTTTATTTTTACATGATGAATAAATTTCCTCCGTTACTTTGATTGCACGCTCTGCCCATTGATTACTTCTGGGCATCTGTAATATGGATGGCTCTCGCTTCCAGTGAATTTTCAAATAGCTTAAAGCCTTTTGTATGGATTCAATATTTCAGCCAAGTTATTAAAGTCGTTTTTGTTGTACAGTTGGTCTGTAAACCAATGGTCTGCCCAACCATACAATATAAATCAACACACTCTCTGCAGAACTGTCCTTGTTGAATTAAAATGAAGACCAGGATTGCTAGTATAGCTCTGGAGTTCCGCCTTGCATTGCTGATATTGGGTATTTTCTGAAACCTGATCAATGGAAAATGTCCTTTTTCTTAAAAAAATTGGAACACTGAAGTGAGATGAAACAAAAATTTCATATTATCTCTTCAGCCTGATGTTTCGAGAATTACTTCTGTTCAAACTGTGTTTTCAAACTTAAATATTTAATCTTTAAAAAAAAAAAATTTATATCAATAGAAATTTCATTAATTTAGAATGCTATTTTATACTTCATTTTACTTTGCCTCAATACTTTGCTTTGAATTTATCGAAAACATTCATTTTAATGGGTTCAAAACATTCAAAACACAATAACTTAAAATTTATTAACACAACATCCATGAAATTTTTACATATATGTTTTGGACATGTCAGGTAAGATATTGACATTTGGATTTTAAGATTTTCATAAGTATATAAAAACTTATATCAATTTTTTTACATCAAGTAAAAAAATAAAATTTTTTAGACCTTGAAATTAAAAAAAAAAAAATTGGAGCAGAATTTAAAATTTTTAAAATATCCTTCCCTGAAAATAGTATTATAAACATTTCCTGATAATTTGAAGTGATTTTAACTTCTGCTACTTAAGATATCATGTATACAATCAAACAATATTTTGCAAAATTTGGAAAACGGACAAAAACACAAAAGAAAATTAAATATTCTTGTCATTTCTATATTAATTTTTTTTACTTAGTTAATTTATTTGCAAAATTAAAAAAGTAGTTGGGAATAAGCTTTTTATATTATTAATCTACAATAAATTGCCTGTCAATTGAGCAAAATATCAAAAAATCACTTTTTTTTTCATTTTTCAGAAAATATTTGGTGTTGTACTACCTTAATCAGACCATTAAAAAAAAAAAATCTAAGGGTTCAGGAAACCTGACAACCAGCCATAAAGCCATAAAACTTAGTTTTAGAGCTGTACACTCATTAGGAGATAATACAATGAGTTGCCTAGTGCCTAGATAATATAATGAGTTGCTCATAAAAACAGAGATACAAACAAAAACAGAGCAGCCGTGGCGCAGTGGTAGCGCACTTGCCTCAGAAACAAAGGATCCGTGGTTCAAACCCACCTCTGGGCAAGTCTTGCGACGTCGGTTAGGAAGGAGGCGTGAACTTCCAATCAAATGCTCATCTGCTGTGCTCTGTAATAAGGCCGTAAGGACTTCTTAGGGCACCTATATAAAATTAAAAAGAAAAAAACTCATGCATTAAATCAATAAGATCCAGTGTTCAACATCCTAAACTGTAAATAGTGTATTACAAATACATCTACGCCAACTTGATAGATGAAAAAGGGGTGCCAGGCTGGTCAACAGATAGAATATGTTTACCCCTTAAGTCTTTGCCTAGGAGGCCTTCTACAAGACATTAGCTGAATGCATTTTACATCTGCTCAAGATGAGTATTTTTATCAAAACACCATCTTTAGCCTTTACTCAAACAAGAACCCCAAGGCGTTTCAAGTCGGAGTTGGCTTCTCCTATCTTTTGCCTTAAAAAGCATATATCCTAGAAGGCAGCAGGACATAAAGCAGGTTGTACTGGTTTACATGTTACCAATAGTAGGATAACCTGGCCTGACAAACATGTTACCAGTAGTAGGATAACATAACCTGACAGTCTTATACAATGAAATAAATAAATAAAAATCCTTTATTGAAGGCTTCACTCAGGTATCTTGTACTATGATGTAAATAAATCAGAATTCTTTATTGAATACTTCAGAATTCTTTATTGAATACTACTTTAGCTCTCTTCATTGTCATTTTTATCATCAGGGTTGGAACAATATTCTTCATTTTTATTTGCTTTGTCTAAAATAATTCTTCAGCTGTTCAGTTCCAGTTCTCAATTATTTTTCTTATAAAGAATATCACATATCGCAAATTGAATTCCATAGCAATAGCAAAATTAGTGGGTTGCTCTTATTTCTTGCCCCATTTTTTTTATGCTGCCTAATGACTTCATAATGAAATAAGAGACTGCAGTGACTTACGTAAATGCATCAAGTGAGGATTTGGCTAGGTATAATTTAGATATAAAGAACTCATGTTAGAGCCGAAAAAAAAAATTTTTTTTTCATTCTTTGTATTTTCTTTATTTTCTTAAATAAACTGATTGGATTAAGTTGGCATTTTGAAATTTAGGTGTGCTAAGTCAAAAATACTTGTATTTTGTGTATTTTATTTTATGTTTTTAAGTATTTTACATTTTTTTTTTTTTAATAAATTCATTTCAATGATTTTCAAGGAATTTAAAGGAACAGAAGCTCTTGTATTGTCAGTTGAAGAAGATTCTGGAATCCGTATAATAATAAATGAATTGACAATTGCATCAAAAAATCAACTACCTGGTATTCGTAAGGTAAAAAAACAAAAAACTAAATTATTATGAATATTGTAAGTAATACTATTCATAAGTAATTGTAAGTAATAATATTCATAATACTGTTTTTTTAAATTAGCATTTTTAATTTATAAGGTATTTATTTTTATTCTTAATATTTATTAGTTTTTATTTATAAGGTAAACCATACTAGACGTATTATATATTATATAGCATATTATAATTTTATAGATATTTTTCTTTTAATAGTCATTTTTATTTATCAAGTAGTTTTTTAAGAATTATTCAATCAGGTTTATATATGGTTTATAATTATATCAGGTTGCTGCAGACTTGCTTTGCGTATTTTGCAGAGATTGTCGTGGTGATTTTAGCATGTATGTTCAACAGCTGTTTGTAGTTGCCATTCAGCTTATGAATGATGTTGATAGTAATGTTACAGAGTCTGGTTGGATATTATTAGACACCCTTGTCAAGGTTTTTATTTTTTTTTTAATTTTTAGTAGACACTCTTGTCAAGGTTGTTTTATTTTTAGTTGCTAACCTCATTAATAATTTATTTGACACGCTTGTTAAGGTTTTTGTTATTAGCTAACCTCATAAATAAATTTTTAAGAGTAAAAATAAATTGATAATTTTTATTTTCCTTAGCATTTGGAACCTTCTGATCAGATTCAGCATTTAACCTCGCTGAAGCAAGCTCTTAAATTTATAAAAGCAGAAATTAGAAACAACTTATTACCTGGATTCTGTTTACCTAAAAAGGTAAAGTTCATTTTAATATTTAATTTAAGGTTTTAAACTTGATAAAGGTTTAATAGTTTTAATAGCCAAGATTTGTTTTTTAAAACCTTCAATTATTAAATATGAATTTAATTTTTGTTAGGACTAATATAAACTAATCAATAATTGAAAAAATAATTAAAATTTATAAACAATATAAATAATAACAACATAATTATAATATGATATATATTTATATTTATATTTATATTGGTATAAAAAATAATTTATAACAGTTAATATGTATTATTAATTTGTATATTATAAGTGTATTTTATATAACAATGGTTATTTGTACTCTATATAACAAATTGTTATATTTAGTTATTAATTATTTTGATTTATGATAAAATATATTACATATATAAAAGTTTATAATACAGTATATACAGAGATGTATATAGAGATTTGGCTCTCAGGATCAAAATAATTTTTACCGCCCCGGACCTCTTTTCTTAATATAAATCAATAGTATATTTTGTAGAAAAATAAGCAGTTTTATCAAATTAGTATTTTTTTTTTTTCAGTGTTTATTATGAATAGACAATAGTTATCTAAAATAAAATAATAAAATAGTTAGGTTAGGTATAATTAAATGATAAAAAAAATTATTTTTAAATCATAGTCCTTTAATGTTTATGTCAAGCTTTTTCATTGGCAATAAATTGATGACATCATCATAATTCAATTGGTTAGATCTGACTCAATTGTTAAATTAGCTAAACAATTTAAAGGTTCTTCACTATGTTTTGAGGACTTAATTCTATTCAAAACTGAAAAAAGACCTTTTTTTTGAACAATTTAAAATAGGGCAACAGATGAATATGCTTAAGGCAATTTTAGCATATGGGTATAAATCTTCACATTCATTATCTATAATTGTTGAATACATTTTAACCATTGTATCTGGAAATTCATCACCAGGCAACGACAATAAAAAAAAACTAAAATGAACGCATTCATTAGGAAATGTAATACGTAGATCCTCTTTGTAAAATTTCTGTAAGTTCTCAGCTTTTTCATAAATTTCAGTACTTGATAATTTAGTGATATTAAAGAAGAAAAAAATTTTTTCACTAAACTGTTCATATGCTATTACTTGTTTATTTAGTTCCAAATTTAGTCGATCTATGATAACTAAAAATGTATTTATTTTAAAATTCTGTCTACAATTAAATTGTGATTCACCTTGTCTTGTCTCATCAACCTTTTTTTTTTTTTTTCACGCAGTGTTTCTTCTTGATAATCTTTAATCCCTGACTTTTCTTTTGTTTTTATTTCATATAAATCAAACATTTCTCTTAGACTAGACACATATTGAATTAGTGATCTGTATAAAATAATAACAGATTTAAAATCAATGTGAATTAATTGTAATTTTTTACTTAAAATAGAATAAAAGTTAAATAGAATCTTTCTTTTTTTGTCACCCCATAAAAGCCATTAAAGCAGTTTTTAAGTTATTTAATTTAGTTAGTAAACTTCACACCTTGTACTAGGTTTTTCAGTTCTATCTTTATTAATATCAGTTAAATTCAATATTATTTCATTTAAATTTTTATTAAGACTTATACATGCTTTGTGTCTGGCTGACCATCTTGTATCAGAAAGACTTTTCAATGACACATTTTCTGGTTTAGTAAATTTATTTTTTAATTTTTCCTATCGATTAGTTGAGATACTAGCTAAAAATTGTATAGGCTTTGAAGTAGACAGGAAAAGTCAACTGCACTTTTACAAGAGTTAATTGTACATTCTCCAACTAAATTCAAAGAATGTGCTGAGCATGGGATAATTTGAGCTAATAGACAGATCTCTTTGATACGCACTTATCACTTATGTTAAGTTCATGAGATTCAAAGACAGGAAATAATGCATCAGCTAAATCTTTGGAATTATGTCCAGAGTTTGAATGAAAACATAAAAATCTTTCTACAGGTAATCCATCTTTGACATATCGAAATATAAAGGATAATTGGTGCTATGTCAGGCATGGAATCTATACTAATTGAAAAATATTTACTTTCTTTGATTTCTTTGATTATTT